ACAGCATTTTAGGTTTTTTTTTAGCATCAATAAAAGGCTTTAAATGGAGCATGGAAAGGAAGTTTCTCTAGATGTTCACAACACTGTTGCAACAAACTTTAACATTTAAGTCAGTCAAAAACATCTGGATGTGAGATAATTTGGGCTTTTAACTCCACACCTCCTTCAGTTCAGGTTGCAAAACTTGACGTGCGTCTTCCTCCTGCTGTAAGGAAGAAGGGAGCGTCTCCCTCGAATCACTGTGCTTCATTCAAATACGGCTCCATGCAACATAAACATGAAGTCAACATAAACAGAGGTATCAACGCATAACGGTTTCAAAACTGCAGCCAGTTTTTCATTGAAATGAATGAAAGCAATTATAGAATCTTTATTGCGATTTTCAAAAATATTACTATAATGACACCATTTTGTTGGACAAACATTGACGTTATTATCTGGTCCTGCAGACGGCTGTTTCAACACTAAAGCTTTACATGTGGTAAAGGTCCATCAAAAAAAAAAAAAAAAAGAAAAGTTTCACGCACTCCTGGGGACTATGAAGAGGTGATTTTGGTCGTCACTATTGTCTCGCCGTTTACGTTCTTAGCTTTACAGATGTAGCTACCGAAGTCGATGGTTCGCACGTCTTTGACAGACAAGATGCTCTGGGAGAACCTGGTGGTGTGGCCCATGCCTCTGTTCACCAGCCTCCACAGTGTCTGGATGTGAACCGGACGCTTGTCCTGCAGCAACACAGAAACAACCCGGAGTCAAATGCTTTTAGAGCTGCACACCGGAATCCGATAAATCATTTACTCTCAAACTGGCAACTCCATAAAGATACGTAAAATAAAATAAACCATGTAAGTCTCTCTCTCCAAGTAATTTCAATCATAATTGCTGTTAGCTCCAGTTTATTAGAGTGACAAGTCCAGATTTATGCTTGCTGGAGAGAGTTCTCTACTGTTGTCTTCGTCTCGTGTCTCTTACCTGTCCGGGATAGGACCAGCTGAAGCTCACGTCCTCCTCTGGTTCTCCCAGCACAGTGCAGGTCACATTGACATTGCCGCCACCTCTCACCGTCTCCGGAGAGGCTCCCAGGCTCACGAACGGGGCCCCGCTGGGAACTGTCCACGAGAAACGGAGATGGGGAAAAGTCCTGAACCCAGACCTCTAATTTGATCCATTCAGTCAAGTGGCAGTGGAAGTATGTGGAATTCAAACAATCAAACCAGCACAAATCCATCTTCAGCTGCCATTTAGACATGCAAAACTTGCTCAACTCGACCTAAATTAGCCTGATTTATTGCGTAAACTTCCGTCACCCAGTCTGAAAGGGTCTATTCTGAATCAGGAAGCTGACTTTAGCTTCAGAGATATAGTTTCTGCAGAAAGTGCCAATGTAATCTTTCCCTTGGTTGCAAGTTTCTGGTTACATGGCAACAAAATGTGGGGTGTGAGGGGTGGAGGGGATCAGAGCGTATGAAAACTTTTGACCTCCCTCACCTTCCACATACAGCAGCTGGTATTTGGTGGAGATCTGAGGGGTCCCCTTGGAGGCGGCCTTGCAGTAGAAGACCCCCTGAAGATCCGCGCTGGGGTTCTGTAGGATGAAACCCCTGGTGGGGTCGAAGGTCAAAAGAGTCTGGTTTGCCGTGATTTCCTCAGGAGGGACCTCTCGGTGGAGCGACGCCTCGACTTGGGGCTCGGTCACGCGGCAGGGCACGATGGCGGGCCTGTCGGGGCGCAGGTACACGATCTGGAAGTGGATCGCAGACGGGACGAAGAGGTTCTCTTTGTCTGGAATGAAGGTGAGGCGTGAAATGTATCTCAGATCTCCAACTTTCTGCTTTGATCACAGTTCAACGCTCACTGGAAACCACTTCACCCCCTGATGTCAGTGACTTTATTCATCTCGGCACACATAATACCTGGGCAACGATAATGCAGCAGTTGTTTCCTCTTCCTGCACAAATATGACAAGCCAATAAGTCTTGGAGGCAATAAAAAAAGAACCTCCACCAGAAAATTGCAACCTGCTGCCACTCGCACATGAAAATGGCTGCAAAACAGATGCACAATAATACAACCTTACGGCTTTGAAAAGCAGAAGTGGAGCCTCGTGCGCAATTTACGACAATGTAGCAAGTGGTTTCTAAATGGTAAGTCCACAAAAAAACATTTGTCTTTCCGTACAATGACTATATTGATCGCCATTGTACAGTCAGTGCAGCGGTAAAGCCAGTTGACCAAACGTGCTGGAGCTCAGCTGAGTGCTAGCATCGACACGGAGAAGCAGCATTCAGTTTCAATGCAGCAAAAATACTGAACAAACTTCCAGAAACGCTAAGCTCCTTTAAGTCATGTTGGTTTGCTAATCACATATTTGATGTTTGCTGATCATTTTGTTGACGGCTGTGTGATGATTTGAATGCGTTTTTGTGGTGTGAAGCACTTTGAAGCGTCTTGTTGCTGAAATGTGAAACGCAAATAAACCTGACTGAACAATCGGGAGGCTTTTGAAACTCAATTTTTGACTTATTGCCAAAAAACTGCTGGGCGGTTTATTTTTATAAGCGCTTGGGCGAAACTCCAAACATAAGTCGTTGGTTTTTTTTTTTTTACTTGCAAACCCTACTGCCTACCTGTGAAGTAGATGTAGGAGGCGTACGTGCGGTCTTGGTCCTTCTGGCACTCCGTCCCGTCGCACACTATGACCCAGCAGCTGTAGGAGCCCGTGTCTGCAGCAGAGGGCGAGGTCAGGACCAGCTGGCTGTACTTGTCGCTGCGCTTGATGCTGCGGCCAAAAAGACAAGCGATAAGACGAGCCAAGAAAAAAAACCCAACCCGGCAACCGGAAACTGCAGCGTTTCCCTACGGCACCTGAGGCGCGAGTCGTTGAAGGTGTCCAGGTAGGTCGGGTAGGACCATCCGATGTTGGGCCCTTTGCAGCGCAGCTCCACGCTCTTCCCGGGAGTCAGGGTGGTGCTGGGGCCCAGGCGCAGGAAGCGACCCTTGTCCAACACCTGGGTCAGCAGGGACTGGCTCTTCCCCTTCCTGCTGGTCAGGGTCGTCTGGCGGGCCCTCGCCCGCTTCCCACCCGGATGGGCGCCGCTTTCACCCGGGTCTTTCTTTCTCTTGGCCGCCTGGCAGGATCCTGGAGACACAGAGGGAGACACCTGAGACAAGACAAAAGGAAGGCTGGAAAAAAAATATGAATCATTCCCACTGCCTCTGAATGCACACAGTTCAGCCTCTTCTTCTTCTTCTACTTTTGTTTTTATCTCAGAAGGAACAGAATGTAAAATGTTCCATTTTAGCTATTCCTCGATAATCGGAAACATCTGCTGCATTCCTTCACCTCCAGGAAGCAGGTCTGCAGAGTCACTTTGGAAAAAACATTCCTCCACTGAACACTTTTCATGCACATCACTGAAAAAATGCAGACCATAGAGAGGATATGAAACTGATTTGCATTAATGTACTCTTTAAAACAAAACAAAAAAAAAGTTGAAACTTCCCTTCACACACCAAGTGGTTTCCCTCCTGCCAGTGTTAGAAGCGGTTTCGTCACATCGCGGCTCATCAACAGATATGAAAACGTCACTCACCGTTTTGGAGCTCCAGACAGAGCAGTGCCAGAAGAAATACAGCCCAGAGCTTCATGTTCGGAGAGTCCTGCTGGGCCAGGCGAGCTGCGGAGGTTCGGTGAAGAGAAGGAAGAAGAAGAAGAAAAAGGCTCTGAGGTTCGCTGGACCAGCACCGGCCCCAGCTGCTCTGTTTACCATCCCAGCTCCATCCTCCTCATAGGCTGGAACTGTGAGGGGAAATAACCTGGTTTTCCCTCCTCTCTCCTCTCAGGCCCGGGGAGCAGTAATGTGTAGTCTGGCGCCCTCTGCTGGACCGCTGGGGGAATTAGCCTTCTGCTTCACAGTATTTCCAACAAAATGAAACCAATTTATGGTATTTAAAGGCAGAGGTGTGTAACGTGGCCATCCAGATTTGGTCCTAAGACAGTTTTGATTTTTATTTGTAAGATTCTGTTCAGCTCGTTCACAATTTGTCATATTATAATCATAACTTGAAACCTTTGCGCAGATGTTAACACCGCATTCCGTTTACACTGCACGTGGTGACCGCAGGGGGCGCTGTTACAGTCTTTACACCACGCTTCGTGGTCACAAAATGTGACAGATGTTGTGACCACGCCGTCATTTCAGTACTAAATATCTAAAGCAAACAGTTTCTCTCCTTCCGCCAAAGAATAAAAAGTGACTGACTGTCAGTGTAGGAGCTATTTATCCATTTTTTTTCAGTTAAAGTTTAGGATGTAGATTATTTAGTTTATTTTTATTTATTTTCTAGTTGATTTATAATTAGAATGTTTATTTTGTTGTTTCTAAAAACGTTTTGTGGTTAGTAATTCACTTAATTAGTTAATTGATTTCAGTTTGGGAAGTGGGTGTGTTTCACAGTATAAATATGTAGGGTTTAGATAAGTCTTGAGTTTTTCAATTTTGGAATTTAGTTTTTGGACAAATAGTCAATATAGTCAGTGTAGCAGAAACAGTTTAAGTATTGAATACTTTCCTGCGAGTTAGAGTACATGATAGGTGCTGTCATAATCTGTGACCGTCTACATCTCCGTAATAGTCATAATATTAAAGGTTCAGATGTTACTTTATGTTCTTAGTTTTTCTGTTTGCGCTGGTTCTCCCTCGCCCTCTTGAAAGAGTCCCTTTTTTTGGCGCATTGAAGCGCAACAGCGCCCCCTTCGGTGACAACCTGCGGTGGTCACGGAATTCGGTGTGAAACGTTTCGATTGTTTCCTGGGAGAAACATTTGGTGGGAGCACTAAAAATATTTCAGCGAAACCAATTTAATTCTTCAAAGCTGGTTTTAGTGAATAATAGCTCCTTTATTTATCTTTTATTGCCGTTGTTCAGACGGTATCGTTAGAACAACGCGACCGAACAAACTGCTGAACCTGATCAATAACCAATATCATGCAGCTTCAGTGTGTTTTTCCTCTCTTTTAATTTTGTATTTCGTCAACATTAAGAAAGAAAAATAAAATAAAATACTGACAGTGCAGGTAAGCTGTTGCACATCATCATCAGCTAAAACCTTCCACATCACAACAGGAGGCGTTAAAAAGGCCAGGGAAAAAAAACAAACAAACAATAAATCCAATAAACCTTCATCCCAGAGAAACTCTTTGAAGCTGTAATGACGGACTGAAAATACTTTAGTAGGTGTATTTTCATTCACCTACTAAAGTATCAAAATAGCACAAAATATCAGAAGGCACAGCATATTGTCATAGTGCGATAGCATGAAACAAAAGCACGTACTTTCATAAAACCTTCACATCACGCTGCTTTTCTAATCATAACAGTTCTGAAACTGAAGCAATAATAATAATAATGATAATAATAATAAACCTAACAACCTGTGCTTAATGAAACCACAGCTACAGACTTTAGTTACTACAGGGAAGATTTAAAATGAATAATTTCAAGGATTAACATTTTCCCAGCTCCGGTCAGTCACCACTAAGCTAATTGACACTTTGCACATTCAGTGGCTCTCCAGAGTGTGCGGTGATCCAAACAAAACAAAACCAAAAAGAAAAAACCAGATGCAAATCAATCGTCTCAAAACATTTCTCACCCTTTAATGTAACTGCACAATTTGAGACTTTATGACCAGACCGTCCTCTTCTCCTCTGTGGTTTTCTGTCGCTTCTTGAAAAACCCGCCTCTTAGGTCTGACCTTTGACACCACTTGAGATGCTGATTTGTCTTTTCTTTTTTCTTTTTATCCTCGTCATGTCAGCATTGTGTTATTGCGCGATTCCTCTCACCACTGTATTCTCTCGCGGTGATCATATTCATATCCACCTCGTTCATTTTGGCGCCTTTCAAACAGAGCTTGCTGCCGGCTGCACGCGCTGTTATCTTCCGTCCTCACAGATTTGTCTTTCGCCTGAATTACGCAGGAAGCATCGCCGCGACGTTGGGTAAAAAGTCCGGCCATCGCCATTAGGAACACCCGACCTTCCGGTCGTTTGGACAACTGTGAGATCCACGACAGGTCAATGCGTGTCGAGGATTTTCCACTGACATTTTCGTAATTTCAAACGCAAATTGTCGAAGACACAGAACACATAGAAAAACTGATATACAAGTGTTTGTACATCACGGGAGTAAAGGGCAGGAAAAAAAAGAATGTGCTTTAAACATCGTAATCTCCAGTCCCTTGGGAAGCTGTGTTGGCCGCAGCCCTACGATGACACTCTCCAGTGTGTTACCTGTCCTGTTTTTGTTTTTGTTTTGTTTTGTCTCCATTCATGGCGTCCAGAGAGCGCTCTGGGATCTAAGTCTTTGTGGTCGCAGAGACGGAGCGGCTCCTCACCAGAATACTGACTCTGCCACAGTGAGGTTCGTACACACGAAGGAGCCATTATGTACATGTGTGTCGAGGCGCGAGTCGCCGAGTGCCTTTGGTTTTGGGATTGTTTCTGTTCCGTTTTGCGTCGGCTGCCTCTCGGAGTGTGAGAAACAGTCCGCGGCCTTTTAACACTGGCTGGTTTTGTCCGGGCTGATGAAGCGCTCCTGCTCCTTTGCTGCCTCGTTTGTCTCGACCTGCTTGTCCTGGATGGCTTTCATGCTCAGCTGGTTTGCGTCGCCGTTGCCGTGCGCGTCCTGACGGTGGTGCTGTCGCTCGGCGCTGTGCCAAACGCCATAGCCGAAGTAGATCAAGAACCCTGTGAAGGAGAAGTTTAAAAGGAGGAGGTATGAGAGAGGAGTTAAAGTTTTTAACATCAATGCAGCTGTTTCTCTGAAAAACATTGATGATTCTAAAATTTATATTCAACATAATTAAAAAAAAAGTTTAATATATTTAAGCAAAACCCTTAATTAACCCTAAATTAAGGGTCAATTAACACCTAAGGGTTAATTATCACCTAAGGGTTAATTATCAAAGATTAATTATCTTCCCAAGGGACTTATTAAAGATTAAGTAACCCTTAATTATGGATTAATTAAGTGTTAATTAACCCTTAATGAAGGGTTATGGATTAAAAATTTACCATTAATTAATATTTAATTAAGGGTTAATTAATTAAAGATTTAATCCATTGATTCTGGATTCAATTCAGAACTATTGAATCCAATGGTTCCGGATTCAGTGGTTCTGAAACCAGAACCATTGTGATGTAAAAGGGCGGTATTTTTTAAATCATGTTATAATATTATTCCCTCATCAAAAATTTCTGGAGTGTTGCTTTGATTCTTTCATGAATGACTGAGAAATCCTTTGATCTCCATGGCAACCATTCAACTGTGTAAAATGCCTGGGTGGACTTAGCCCCGCCTTCAAGGACGAAGCTCCACCTCGGAGCTGCAGTTTCCCAGCTTCCACATCACAGACACAACACCCACAACGTCGGCAGCCAGCTCCTTCAGACTAGCCAGCAGGAATTAGCAGCCACCTGGTGGAGCTGTGCCTCAGGTGTGCTTTTTGTACAAGCTACCTCTGATAAGTAAAAACGTTGGTAAGGCTGAGTAAAGGAGTCATGTGATGACTTCCTGGAGGCGGAGTTTCAGAAAGAGCTGGAGTTTTTAAAGCGACAAAGGCCCAATTTCAAGGTGTTAAATTCCAAAGTCAAATTTATTTTAGTCACATTTGATACATGCAGTATTTTTGCAAAAACTGAAGGTAATGTTGATATTTGATTGTGCTATAAAATGTACTATGTAGCTGGAAAACAAATCATCCTGCACCTTTAAAGACAGCTTGAATGCTAGAACGGGTCAAAGTCACACATGACATCATTCACTTATCAGCTTGTACAAATACAACATAGTTCAACTTACCTGCAGCCATCCAGACAGAGAAACGTATCCAGGTGACTCCACTCAGCTGGACCATGAGGTAAACATTAACAAATATACTCAGAATAGGCAGGAAAGGCAGGAGGGGTACCTGTGACGATGAAGGAGCCGTTAGGTTTCTACATGTTGATGGACACATGACCCCATAAAGCAGGACACTGAGTTGAGATGAACTCAATGAAGTACTAGCTACAGCCAAGCTGCTGCGTACCATGAAGGAGACCTTCTTGGTGGTCTGCGGCTGCCTGCAGATCATGAACACGCAGAAGCTGAAGATGAGGAGACAGACGGAGAGCAACGCCAAAATCCACACTTCCGAACCAACGATTGAGTTTAAGTGGTAGGTGGTGAGGTAGCTGATGACACACACTACAATCACTGCAGGTGGAAGAAACACACATAGAGATTATTCCAACATAAACAGGGATTAGAGTGAACCGCAAAGGGAAAGGCGTCGGACACAACAGGCTGCATACCCAAGACAGCGATGGACATGTTGACCACAGAAGACGACTTCTCGGACGGTAAGAGGGGAGGGTGGAGGATACTCTGAAGGACGGAGTTGCCGCCGTTCAGCATGTTCAGGTGAGACTCTGACTCTGTCAGTTCGGACTCCTCAGATGCCAAGCAGCCCTTCTCACCTTTCTCTGGCTGCCTCTCCAGAGCTCCATCTGGCTGGTACCTGCAAGACAAATAAATTCAATTCTGTGACGTCATCACTAGTAATACCTCGCTTAAACTTGACAGACGCATTATATAGCAGCGAGTATAAAAAACACAGGTTTAGCGTTAGCCTAGCGCCGAACCAAACAGCGCTCTTTGAAAACATGAGGAGCAAGTTTTTTGTGTTCAGCCATTCACTCTCTTTAGCGTTAGTTAATTCTCTCGCCTTGTTCCTCATCTTGCTGATTAGCTTGCGTGGCATTTGTCCCTCCATTTGTTTTATCATTAATCATTTGTCAAAACTCCCCACTGAGTGACCAAACGGCGCCAAAATGACGAGTCTTTTGTGGCAATGTCTACAATTCACCAACTTAAGTTTGAGTCTGACAATGACAGCTTGGTAAGGAAACTAGTCCTGATAGTAACTCTTTTGGAAGAATCTGCACTGCCTGCTTAAGGATTTATGCCACAGGCTCGTTACATGTGCACCGAACATATGAAAAACGTGCATGTCCTCCAGCAGTCGGATTGAGAAAGAGCTGTCATGATTTTAGCTTCGACAGAACAAGTAAGGACCGGATCCAGTTTAGACCAGAAAGGGCGCCAGAAAAAGAGCTGCTGCACTGCACGCCCTATGTTTAGCGAGTAAAGACACTTGAATAAACAGCCCCCGCCTGCTGAAACTTATATTCCTACAATGGGAGCTTTCACAGCTCTTATTCACCGAGGTGACGCAATCGCTAACAGGGTAATCAGGCTTCTGGGCATTTTGGAGAACCTATTAACGCGGCTGCTTCCCAAATGTTGTACAAATCGGATTCCTCTACTACACAGCGCTGCTCTGGGAGAGACTTCTTCCCACCTGAGAACGAGCACGCAGATGGCAACCAGTGTGTAGGCCAGCAGAGTCCCAATGGACATCATGTCCACCAGGGCCTTCAGGTCGAACAAGAAAGCCATGATGGCTGCAGAGAGCAGAAGACTTGTTAAATGAAGAGGAAACATTACAAGCACACTCAGAGAACCGCTGCATTTGCAGAACAGTCCATGCACCGAATTGCGGTCATTACATGTGAAAAAGTTTTTTTGTTTTGATGCACAAATAAATTAGATACAAATTAAGTTTCATGCAACATAGTTTCATAAAAACAATGAGTAAAAAAAACACAAAAAAAAACTTTTTGACTTTTGACAGCTTAGATCATTTTCATACTGAGCTTCGGTTGACACAAGAGAACTGGTGTCAGAACACCAGCAAAATGTAAAAGGGGGACCAAAATCATAAAATCATGCCAAAATCAAATGTTTACAGCAGCTCAAGCTTCTCATGTTTACACATGTGAAGGTGATCAGCAGTTTTCTTTAGGGTTTTTTTTTTTTTGTACCAAAGTCATACGGGCAGAATCTCGACGGGTACCGGAGTATATTAGCATGTGATGAAACAGCATAAAGCATAAGCAAGACATGAACACATTCAGTTCATAACCTTCCATTACAAACGTGTGAAAAACATTGATTTTTCATCAATGTCGAAAAAGCAAAATTTCACAAGTTATATTAAATAATAACAAAATAAACAAAAACAGAATTAATAAATACAAGCCAGACATTATTTAAAAAGCGTCATCCTGTTGCCGCTTCCCGGCGTCGTCTTCTTCACGGTTGCTGCTAGTGGTGACATCCGGTTGTTGATCATGTGACTCGTGTGATGCGGAAAGAAGTTTTTACTCATTTTGATACAGCGGGGGGACTGCTTTAACAAAAAAACTTGAGTTTTAATCTCTTTTTTTTTATTTGCCTGTCTCTATAAAAAACGCAGCTGTAATCAACAGGAGGGTGCAGATCTCAGCAGCAGAGGTTTGAACAGACAGCAGTGTGTCTGCCATCCTTTTCGACATTTTCTTAAAACAAAATGGAGGGTGGGAACAAAACAACAACAACAAATAATCTCTCTGGCATGTTGGATGCTCGGTGCAGGGGCTGTTTGCAGGGGCTGCCTCTTCACCAGGTCGTTCACCCCGTTAAGTCTCAGCTTTAATGTCTGAGCAGATTGTGCAACCATGTTCCGAACACCTGCAGTCCACTAAGCAGGAAAGCTGCGGAAGTAAATATTCGTAATAAGCACCGCATTAATCCACAAAGTCCAAACTGTTAAAGTGAGCTCTGGCACGTTGTCAGTGTATGCGAGTACCTCTGTGGTGCCTTATTAGCAACGCTCATTGCTGTGTTGACGACTTGTGGAGAGCGCTTCAGACCATAGAGTGCCAGAGATGGAAAAAGAGTCACTTTTTTATAGCCACCATTTCACTTTGAGCCAAACAGCACCTTGGTGAGCTTTTTGTTGTGGTACACTTAAAGTAAATTATGATTAACTTTAATTGCAGCACAGTGGTGTAAACTCACCCAGGCAATAAAATCTGGAGACAAACCAGATCTAACCAAGACAAAAGCAGCCGATCAGAATTCTGACTTGGACTTGATTCTCACCATCCTGGCTCTCAAAAGCCAATATGGCTGCCACTTGCATTAAACATAATGTTCGCTTTAAGATTAGACAGTTTATTTGTACTTATGTCAATTTGAGTTCTAGAAAATCAGTCACATACATAGACCACTGTACAGCTGCTGCTGAACTGTTTTTATTCTGGAATACACATAGTGCAGAAAAACACACTATTAGCAGCCTTGTCACCAATGAACCTCAACCTCAATGCTGGTTGTGAAGGCATGTGCAGTTCCAAATTACAAAAAAAAAAATAAATAAAAATAATTCAGCTTGAATTCACAGCAGCACACATACTTTGTTTTAAATTGGGGCCTAATCTATGCTGCATACAGATATTTTCATTTAGCTATGCTGAAGTTAGTTTAAAACTCTTGAGAATTTCTGGGACTTGCTGTTTTAGGTTTACCACAGGTCAAAATGCTGTAAAACCACCTAAACCACGGTGTCTGATAGCATCAAGAGTCAGTTAGCAGAACTTTTAAGATTAGCTTGATTTGTGGGATAGCAACATCTGGCGTCAGTAAATATAGGTCACTCTTATTGGCTGACATTGTTGAATGTACTTATGAATTTCATCAAGCAAAAACAAAAATGGAATAGAAACATCAAAAATCTATGATACAAACACAAAACATTAAAATAAAAAAAACCCTATCGTGCTAGCATACCACTGAATAAGCATTAATCTTTCAAGTATTTAGCTTTCAACAAGTGAACATGAGTGACTGAATGTAGCGTGAAGCCCTTTGGAGTCTTGTGGACTGGATAACAGAGCTATACATGTACAGGCCACTGACTTTCTTCTTCTATCAACAACCAGCGAACCTGCCATACAAGCAATCTATTCCCCTTTTATTTTTCTGATAATAAGCAGGCTGTCTAAGATGCTCTGCGCCGCAACAAAAGTGTTTTCTTCCGCGTCCGAAATTACCCGGCTCTACCTTAGCAACAGTAAAACAAACACTCTAGGTATATTAGACGTGTGCATCATGATAATTGTTGAGAATATAATTCTCAATATTTAGTATGTGTTTCATTTCTAAAAGAGCTGGGAACATTGTTTGAGTGTGTGCCATTATTAACTTTTTTGAAAATACCAGGAAACAAACAAACAAACAAAAAAACATAATCATCAATTCACTCAGCAAGGATAATGTTCCAGAAGATATGGCCAAATCAACAAAGAATTTGTTTCTGACTGTTCCAGGTTGGTTTTTATTATCAAATCAGTTGAATAACTTTCATATTTTTGCAATGTTTCTTTGGTATCACCCCACTATCAAATTATCTGCCATTATCTTCTAATACGGGATGAAAAACCTTGAAGACTTGTGGGATTGACATAGTAGGAGCTATGAACTTTCCTCTTGCTGAGAGTAATGGCTCCTTTGCATGCTTTAGAAACACCACAACCAAGTTCATGCAGTTACCACCACCAGCTGATCGTGAGCACATAGAAAAGCACACGCACGTCATAAAAAAAAAGAGACAGGAACCCGGACAGTCCACGATACAACCCAGTGACAGGCGAGTTCTTGTCCAGGAGCTTACCCGCTGTGGTACCTGCTGCCATGGTGGCAGCCACGGGCGACTGGCGCTTACTCACTTTGGACATAAATTTGAACAGAATGCCATCTCGCGCCATGGCAAAGAGAATGCGCGGCAGAGGGAACATGGAGCCCAACAGGCTAGGGAGAAGAGGGTTCATGGTTAAGTCTAGAGCATTCTGGGAGAGAGAAAACATGACACCTGCACAACTGTGAAAGAAAAACATTCTGTGTACAGATACAGAAAGTCCTACAGGTCGTATTGATTTGTCAAGAAGTGAAATTGAACCAAGCCCAATGAAAAAAACAAGAACTGACTGAATCATCTCTTTTCTCGCCATTGTTTCTTTCACAATTGATTGGTGGAGACACATTAGCTGACTCGTTTCACTTGCATGATCCCCGGCTCTCACCTGCGACTACACCGGAGCTCATAGTGGCAATAACTGGGGTCTTCGTCTTAGGATTGATTCGGGCTAAGGCTTTGAAAAGCACCCCATCCTCTGCCATAGCATAGATTACACGAGGCATGGGGAAAATGGAGCCCAGCAGACTGCGTGAGACAGCAGAGACATGCAACACCAACACGTTAGTCATGAGCCCTCAACCCGGACAAACGGACAGGAGCATCGAAAAGCTTCAGAGTCAAGAAAGTCCCAAAAATGTCTTTCTTTCCTGCCTGTAACGTCATTCTTGCAATCTTTCCTCCACAGGGAAACTCTGCATATGGATCTTTGAGGAACGCGTCTCCAATAGATTTCCACATGCTATCATGAGACCCAGTGTGTAAATATTCATGTCAAGCAAGAAAAATGTGTGTTAAAAGCAGTTTCACAAGACACGTAGTCCACACAGATAAGGTCCATTAGCAGACTTGAGCCAGATTCAGTTCAATCGAGAACCTGTGCAGAACGTTCCAATCGATGGAAACTTTTGATTCGACTGGAAGAATGACATCGGCCGACTCCGCTAATATTGACACTGACGGAAAAGAAAGACAGAGTTGGGACAACACGATATGTTTCTGAGACAGACTGAGACTTGCTCAGCAGCTCTCAGCACAAAAACATGCTGGGGCCTCAAACACAGAAAGAATTAAGCAATGCACCCACCACAGAACGTTAAGCAACAGGAATCAATCCAATTACAAGACGCAGACAGAGATTGATAGTCAAAGCTGTTGGCTGAATCTCATCTGCCCAGAATTTACAGTTAAATTACATCCCACCTAAACACCAGCGATGTATATGTTTTGGTTGTTCTAAGAAAAACAAGACCTTACCTTGTAGACAGGGCACATAGTGAACCCACAGCAACCACATATTTGGCGGGGCCCCAGCCCACATATTCAAAGGCCATGGGGAGAGGGCTCTTCTCATCCAGCAGGTAGTAGGGCATCATCAGAGTGAGCGCAGCAGAGACACCGAAGTACGCCAAGAAGCATACAGTCAGTGACACCACAATGCCGATGGGAATGGCCCTCTGGGGGTTCTTCACCTCCTCTCCTGTTGCAAACACCAAAGTGAACACAGATGTGCTGGCACAATGAAAACCGCAGTGGATCCAACCCGCCAGATCCCGGAATCACCTGTCGTTGCAATGCAGTCAAATCCGACAAAAGCATAGAAGCAGGTGGCGGCTCCGGCTAGCGTCCCGCTGAAGCCGTAGGGCATGAAGCCGCCAACGCCATAGTCACTGCTCACGTTGCAAGTTTCCGAAAAGTTCCTGAAACATGCATACAGTATTTCATAACGACTGAGACCGACGCTGACCTGCACATTTCTGCATAAGTCTATGCACAAAGCAATATGGGTTATCGGTGTAACAGACCATACTTGACTGGTATCAAATGAATCCGTTACCTTGTGACGATTGTGATATTGATGAGAGATTCTTCGGTTATCTTCCAGTTGTGTGTGTCTCCTTTGACGAAGCCAGAAATGATGACAAACAAGAGGACGAGCACGTTGATTGAAGTGAAGATCTTGTTGACCCAGGCCGATTCCTTCACTCCAAAAGACAAGAGCCCTGGACGAGTGTCAAACAGACCACCGTAAAAGCTTTAGCTAAGCTGAAATTAAGTTCTCAACCATTTGAGAGCCAAAAAAGTCCAAACTGTTCCGACCCTTTAAAGTCAAGGGTCAGCGTCCTGAATGAACAGCTCTTGGTTCGGTTGTACTAGGTCTTTGCTGAGGCTTTTAAATGAAGATTCCTTCTTTTTACAATCATGTTTATATAATGGCTCTATCAAAATTAAGTTGCAAACATTGCAGCAACTTTCAATGCTTCACTAGGGTATTTTACTTTTGTAAAAAGCTCCAACATATTTTTTTAAAAATTGCAAACTTGGCTGTTTACTGCAGCAGAAAGTTCTTTAATCTTTAAATATTGTGATTTAAGACTTTTTAATCTGCTTTTACCCAGTGGATTATTTGAGAGCTTAACAAATCTATTCATAATTTTTCACTGTTTTTTTTAGTTATGGTTTGTTTTTAAAGGGGGGAATTTTTGGATTTTCACAATGTGTTTACTCGATTTGAGTTGCAGAAGTTCTGCTTCTTCGATCCTCACATAAACAACCAGACACTGGTAGGTTGTCTTTGACGCCGCTGGCCTAACATGATCATGAAACCCATGATGGATGCCGTTTAATCAAGCGGAATGTATCAAAACATGACTGGTTTGAGTCTGTCATAAACTTTGATTAATCTTGTCAGTTTAACCAAAAAGCAAATACCAGTTGACTCTAATTACTATTAACCCAATGCAGTAGACATTCACAAAGGCATCCATCTCCCTTGAACTTTTCCATGTTTTCCTAACACCTTCCTCTGTTACAAAAATATTTTAAATATCAAACATAACTCGGAAGAAATTTGTTCCTGAAACATGCATAACATATTGAAATTGGGCCTCTGTCTCTTTAAGAAGTTCCTTCTCCTTCCGAAGCTCCGCCTTCAGGAAGTCGTCACATCAACACTCCTCTATCGAGGATTTCTCAGTCCAGTCGGAGCAACTGGACTGAGAAATGAGCTCAGCTGAAGCTCAGTTCCGTCCGGGTTGGCTAATTGCTGCTGCCGCTAGTTTGAAGGAGCCGAGTGGGGTGGCTTTGTGAGGCAGAAGCCCAACTTTGGAGCAGCAGCTCCAGGGAGGAAGTGCTGCGTTCATTCACCCGAGTGTTTGTTGCTGCGGGAGATTAAAGGGTTTCTCAATCATTCATGAAAGAATCAATGCGGCACTCCAGGGAAAAACTTTATAACACAATGTAAAGCTCAAGAAAGTCAGTTTTACAAAACACTGCCTGTTTAAATAACAGACCTCAGGACATTCCTACTAATAATTGTTGATATATTCTCCCACCTGAGCCCTGAGTCTCTGTAGGTCATCCAGAGCTCAAGTTGTCTCCCCGTCAGCTTCTCTGATCAATGTCCTCCTCACTTAACCTGTAAGCTGAAGTTGTTGGCCATACTTCGGTAGGTTTGTAGATCTGCCATATTGTTTTGAATGACAGGCAGAACAGTGCCAAGAGATCTCAGAGTCTTTGGATATTATTTCCTAACCCAAACCTCCTTTAAAAAACATTTGAAAACCATGACATTTTAGTTCAAGGGCATTGTGGACATCCAAAAGGCACTGCATGAACTGCACTAAACCTCATGTTTAGCTCGATGTCACACACTGTGCTGCCAGTTTCTTATTGAATTATGCCAGGATCGGATCATGAGTTAAGCTGCAGTGATTCCGGTTTCCGTCCCCTTCACTGAACCCTCTGTGTGAGCGCATTCAGGATTTTGAAATGAGCGGCCAAGTGCTGATGCGCTTACCAGAGAGCAGCAGAATGAGGAACACGGCAAAGAAGTCGGGATACGGAGCCAAGCCAGGAGAGTTCATGCTGAAGTAGGTCTTGCAGAAAACCTCAATGTGTCCGCCAATCATCTCGTCAAACGTGCCACTCCAAGCTCTGGCAACGGAGGACGTACCTGATCAAAGAAGTCAAAGGTCAGACTCCACGAACACCCATGCTCTCTATTCTTAAAAGTCAGGAGACTCACCAATGACGTAAGACAGGATTAGGTTCCAGCCAGTAATGAAAGCATAGATCTCCCCCACCGTCACGTAGCTGTAGAGATAAGCAGAACCGGTCTTGGGGACGCGGGCCCCAAACTCAGCGTAGCACAGGCCGGCCATGACGGAGGCCAGGGCGGCGATGAGGAAGGAGATGACGATGCTGGGGCCCGAGTTTCCCTTGGCCACCTCTCCGGCCAACACGTAGACCCCGGCCCCCAGGGTGCTGCCCACCCCCAGGGCAATGAGGTCCACAGTTCCCAGGCAGCGGCACAGCTTGGAGTCCTCCAAGCTGTTCATGTCCACCACTTTCCTGCGCACCAAGGAGCTGCTGAACGCAACGACTTGCTTCAGCATGTTGTCACCTGTAGGCAGACACACAACCAGATTTAAAATACCTGTTCATGGGTGTTTTAATCAGTTAGGTGAAGGGTGTCTGCTTGAATGCCCCCACGACATATTCTAGATCAATATCCTAAAATCAAAGTGCAAGCCAGTGAGTAACAGCAAAAAATAAGCTTGCAGATAACAACTATCAACCAATCAATACTTTGAACGGTCAGCAGAAGAGAACCAGACCTGCGAACACGAATGCTCGGGTGTTGGGGAGCAGCTCCGGTTCGGCTCCATCTGCTTTGCATTTCCAGGTTCTTGCAGCCCGGTTCTAACCGAGACTCGTTGGAAGGCGAGTTACATAACGCGTGAACCCCGAGGGACGTTAACCGTACACACTCTGACGCGCATTGGAGGAGCGCAGCCAAGTTCCGGAGAGCTGGTGAAGTTCAGACTCTACGGGCCCCGTCCGACTATTGTTCGGGGTCATGGTGCAGCTCTAAGCACTCAAAGAGCTGCTTTCATGAAACGACGAGAGAGTGAAGCATTCCAGCAGCTTGCTGTTCCAATTAGCCACGGGGCCAAAAAAACCCTGCAAATTCCCCCTTCGACGCAGTTGTCCTGCAAATTACAGCATCTCTTTCCATTTGTCCAGAGGCAGTCTTGATACCTGCATTGTTGCAAGCTTTTAAATGAGGATGTTTCCGTAAAGGCGTTTGCTTTGCTTCTTTGAACCTGCAAAAAACTATCCTGACGTGGATTTTCTCTTCCAGTGGAACAAGTTTGAGTCCTGGCAGCTCATTAATGTAACAACATAACAGTAATACCAACCAGCCACGTTTATCTGAATGACCCATTTCAGGGCAGTTCACAAAAACATCATCTCACCAGTCGAGAAAGCAGGAGCAAACATTACGTTTTGTCCGTCGAAATCGTCAACACGCATCATCATAGTTATAGTCTTGATTTAAAGAAACTCTGTGTGTCTGCGACAGGACAGTTTTCTGGAGGTTTGCTCCAGATTTGAGGTGCGTGAAAGCTGCACGCTTCACAACTGCAGTCTTTCGCAAAAAAGAGCTGAACTGATGAGAGCTCAACTCTGGTGTTTCATCTTCAAAACGATCACATCTGCAGATCTTTTCAGTTTCCAGAAGAAAAGAAAACCAACAAAGCCCAACAAATCTGCACTGGTGGAATATATTCTAAATATAAGAGACTTTCACCTACCTTAGAGTAGGACTCCTCTTGAGAGCAACAGCTTCCAGGTTCAGGAATAATGAAATAAAAAAAAAAACCTTCCCCAGGTGAGATGAGCTGCAAGCAGGTTCCAGTCAGAGAGCTGGTCGTGATCTGACGAGCCGCTGAACGACACTGAGAGAGAACATGAACAGTACAGAGCAGGTCTGTTTCACTCCTCCTCCTCTTCCTCCCTGTTTCTTCATCACAGGATCTGGCTCCTAACATGAAGTTACAGTACAAAGCAGCTGGAAGGGGAGGCAGGACTGACTGAAGGGGGGCGGAGGAGGGACCACGTGGGGCCCTGAGGCACCGGAGGGCATTTAACCTCTGTGACTCTTGGATTGAAGGTAATTGAGGACAAACTTCGCACCAGAAGCCCCTCCATACTGGAAACTCCACACTGAGGGCAGTAAGAAAGAGCGGGGAGGGGGATCCTATTTATGACAAGAAAAAAAGGGAAAAAAATACAGCATAAACAGATCCCAGCTGTCTGGATGCTTACCGACTGCTGATAAATGATTGGGTAACTTTCACTGACAAACACTGTGGCAGACACTGTTTACCCACCGCTGCCCACAGGACCGCTGCTAAAAGCCTGGATGCTGATTGGTCAATGAAGGGTGGAGAGTGCTGTGTCGGAGGGGTGTGTGTGTGTGTGTGTGTGTGTGTGTGTGTGTGTGTGTGTGTGTGTGTGTGTGTGTGTGTGTGTGTGTGTGTGTGTGTGTTGGGGGGGTTAAGTCCTCTTAATGGAAGACAGGTATTGCTCAATGTACCTTGAGCTATTGGACCTGTGAGCATATTCAATTCAATAACAGCCTGACATTCAATGACTTCACGTCACTTACAAACGCCTCGCCTGTGAAAGACAATTACAAAAGTTTTTTGGGGGGTTTTTTTGCCATCAAGAAAAAAAAAAAAAAACACTTCTGACTAAACCAGTCCAAACCAGCTCGGGGCTCCAGTGGGAATGTGGCAGCTGGCCCCAGGAAGCCCCCGCCGTCCAGCCGGAGGGACCGCGCCGCGGGGGGACAGCGGCGGTCACCTGGACGCGGGTGGGCGCGTCCACTGCAGGCCGACGGATATCACGGACAAACCGCATGGCGAGTCTGACCCGCATGCTGGTTATGGGAAGCACAAAGCCTTTAGAGGAGGAAAATGGCGGAAGATTCGAAATCAAGACACGTTTTAAGTTTCATTAAAAAAAAAAAAAAGATTTTCCTGATGAAAAACTGAGCGTCCTGCTCTGTAACCATGGCAGCAGTGGAAAGCGGTCGACCGGCTCGCGGCGTTTCAATGTTGACACGCGCTAATCGTGTGAAGCCAATCGGACGCAATGCGGCCTCCGATGGCCGCGAGCGGGGGGCCCCGCGGCCCCCGAAAACCGCGGACGTGGTCAACAGGTTGAGTGGTGTTTGCCTTGCGGGCCGCTCGCTCCAGTTAACACTGCGGTCACCAGGAAATGTTGGAGTGAGCAATATCGCTGATAAGAGGCAGTGGATGCAGCGCGATCAGCCTTTGGGTGGAGACGAGGCTCGGGGCCTCGGGGCCATGAAAACGGCTGCAGTCTCTACAGCGTTCCTTATCTTGCATTGGTGGAGAGACATCGTTGTAAATCAACGTTTCATGAGGGTGGAAATAATCATTTGTTAGTTGGCTCGTTTATGGTGCTTTTGTTTTCGTGGTGGTGGACAATGGCCGTCCATCCATTCACAGTCTGTCTGTCTGTCTCACCACAGACATGTTGTAACTCCGTCACACAGGAGACAAACATCCAGGAAATAAGATTACATAAAAATAAAAAGTGCAATGAGCTGTTAGGGTGAAATAGTTGTCAAATCCCCTGCATTCAAAGGCAATTTTACTCAAACCTTTTCACCTTAGATGTATTTTCTTGGGATGATAGGTGTGGTGGGTACTGGTAACTGTAAGTGGAAGGAAAAGGAAAAAATCTGAAAAGTGTGGCGCGCATCTGTATAGTTCCTCTCAGATGTGCAAACATTTTGTTAAAAGGCTGGACGTCTTTTGAGGAAACATTTTTTTGGTTTCTCCTCCCTCTGATTCAGTCATGAGTTTCTGTGAGCCTTGCTTTTAGTCTTGTTGAGACAAGACTAGATCTGGATCTGCACTTCAACTAGGCCATTCTAGCACATGAACATGTTACGATCTAATGATTGTGACCCTACGCAGGTATAGCTAGTGGATGGACTGATGCTCATACCTTTACCTGGCCTCTTCTCTGAATAACTCTCACCCAATACTTTATTATTATGTAATAATAAACCTTTTGAATTTGGATGAAAGCATAAGAGTTCATTTCATAAAAGAGTCTGGCGCACCTGAGCTGCGTCACCAAGCTGACCTATTTTGTAAACTGCCCACTCTGGAAAAAGTAACCTACAAATACAGATTGGACGTTTGCTGTAAGAGGTCAGCATCATGCCAGATTTAGATGCTCTGTCCTAAAGCCTTTTTATATTACAGCTCAAGAACAGTCTGGGCCGTGTAGGTCGGAGACTAAACCAGCACTTTAATGCTATTTTTATTAAACACAAGGTTGTAGAATTATTCGTGGATTCTATAGACAAGTGATTTCCCCTGTTGATCTGGGTCAGACTTACAGAGAGAGCAACTTTAAAATGTGTGTATGATGGTTATTTATTCTGTGATTCAAATAGAAAGGGAGGGCGGAGAGGAACCTGATGGCTGTTGTCCAAAAATCACAAATTTATACAGTTTCCAATGTTGTAATGCGAGTCATATATTAAGTTTTATCTCATAAAAGAAACATCATGGAAACAGAGAAGTGTAATTTATGACTTTTCATGCATGTGGGAGCAGTTAATAAATTCTTTAAAATGTTATTGTCATGTCCAAGTATCTTGACCTAAGGTTGACTCAGTGTTCAAGTCCCTCAGGATTCACATACTCTCACAAATTAACTCTTCAGTAATAATTGCTCACAGGGGATGAGGAGGGGGGGGTCTCTGGTTCATTTTGCATGAGCACAGAGTGAGAAAGAATGTAAATTAAGACACAAATCCAGTCTGACTGCTTTTATTTGCCTTCTGCGTTGTCAGGGGATGCATTTAATGCGGAGAACCCTTTTCCAGTTGCAGCTTACATTGGACAATATCTCAAAATGTTTCTTTTGGAAACTACATACAGCCCATGCGCAGCTTCTGAAAAACCAAAATCCTCTGCAATCAATCAGTTAGTGGCATTATTCTTGATTTGTACTGCAAACACGTAAAAATCTTATTCCTTCATAGTCCTTGGATTAGCTGCATCAAAAGGCTGGACACGTTTCCACCAAGTTCATTGGTTCCTCTACTTTGGAGTTCACTCCAGTGAGTGAGAGCGTAACATCTCTGCCTTCCTGCATGTGGGGAGACGAACTCTGACCGTTGTTTGTACTCATCCGCCACACAGGACCCCATATTATCTGGAGTCCTTGGAGGGGGACCCAAGCTCTCCTGCCTTGCTCTGCTGGGGGACATCAACCTTTACATGGGCAATGATAATGAGCCCTGGAGGAATGTGAAGAATTGGACGTCTGTGCTTGTTATGGATTGTCCATAACGAACACCATGCTCATCATGGACATGGTGTTCACAATCGACTTTGTGGTCGACTCATCTGATCTGAAGGGAAGGGCTGTGATGGTAGGGGAAGATGCCCAAATGTATTGCGTGACTCTGGTGTTAACGTCTGTAGTCTGATGGAGTTTCAACTCTTACACCTGGGAGGGCTTCAAACATTTCCTATCAATCATACATACCAGAAGATTTGCTTTTGACTCACTCTACGGTTACAACAAGCTGCATGTTGGGTTTGCTTGGGACTCAGGCTTCCATTTGGTGTTAATTAATGTTGGATTGGACTTGGACTCAATGTCCATGGGCAAGAGCTGGGCCAAGTCTGAGTCTTTGCTTAGGCTGATGCTCATACGATCTGACCACTGACTGAGCTGATGATGATGGATGAATGGACGGATGGATGGATGGATGGAGGCTGGGTTATTTTCTGAGGTTATAATAGAGGTGGCAAAACAGTTGTTTTGTTTAGTATTGCTTCCTATAGCATGTGTGTCACCACATTTTGATCATCCATGATGGAAATGCATCGTCACAGCTTTCCCCTTCAGTGCAGAGTCCAGTATGTAACCCAATGTTGCCTCTAAGAACAAAAAAACCCCCAACAACTAATAATGTAAGTCTTCATAAAGGAATGAGAAACTTTCTAAACTGGCCAATGAAAATCATTATTACACAATGCAGACCACATGTATGCACTGATGTGGGGTGTGGGACACGACCCAACCAGTCCAACAGGAACGACATTTGGTGGGACACATAGAGGGAAGGTCTGCAGGAGTGAGATGCAGAGGGCACATTCAGTAAGTGAATAGGCCACATACCAATATGTGTTTGCACTTGGAAACCTCTCCAGAAAATCTTCACTTTCTATTCAACATTGTGACAGTCTCTTGAGCAATCCTCAAAATTTATACCCAGAGCCAGGGGGTTCGGCGCTTTGTTGTGTAAAAGCAGCTGTCAGATTAGATCTTTAGATGTCAAAACACAGCTGAAGCCAGAATAGGCAATGAGCAGCATGTGAATTATCATCCAGTGATTCGGTAACTTGCAGAAACTTCCATTTTAAATAGTTTTTTCTTCTTCTTCTTTCTTTCTTTTGATTTTGCATGCAGTACTTTGGATTGCCTGGTGCATGAATCATTTCTAGCTCAACAAACATCCCTTGTACCTTAAAATTTACAGAGACAGCTCTTTTACTGAGGTGATAGACATGTGTTTTGTTTTTTGGTTTTTAAATTTGGTTGCATTTTTTTTGTAAATAAATAAAAAGACAGCAGGAGACAGTCTCCTTGTTGACGGTTTGTTCCCTGTGAGTGTTGTCAGACAGCCAGCTGGCTCCAACTCCAACCCCTCACTGGAATGAACTTGTTTTTTAGCCCAACTCTGCTCATCCTGCTATGACATGTCACAATGTCTGCAGCAGCGCAGCGCAGCTGAAACCAAGAATCCCCAAAAAGAAAGACAAACTTCACCCGTGTGCTCTGACATGAAACCAGTTCTCTCACATTTGGCTGACGTGACACCGCAGCTGTTGTTTGTGCTTTTATTTATTGACTGGACCGAGGTCCACACGCAACAACATGTTAGTATTTTTGGCACTGCTTTCCTAAAAGAACTCACGTCATTGCTCTTAGGCGAGCTGTGTGATGTGTGTAATATTTATATCCTATCAATCTGATAGGTATTTGTGAATCTAAATAAAAGAACAAACAGACAACGCAAGTGAATTTTATGAAAGCTTTTGCAAAAGGAGAGAACCCAGCAAACTGCTGCTTCAAGCCGTTCACTGAGCGCTCTGAAGACCCTTTGTTAGGGCTTTTTCTTTTATTACAAAGTAGAAAGTAGAAAAGGAATGTGGAGGGAGGCAGACAGGAGTATCCCGAATATACAAGTGGTTGCAGCTTCAAGGTCTGTACACAGTTGTAGCTAACAAGTATGAGAGCTTTTCTCAGAAATGTGAATACTAAATCTATTATAACTACCAATGTAAGAATGATAACAAAACAGAATTATTCTAACATTCCCCCCCTGTTTATCATTCTTACGTAATAACTATGCAAAAAAATAGTATAAAAAGAAAAAGAATGGATTACACATGTTATACAAGAGTTGTAGAATGCATAATATATAATATAAGGATAGAAAAAAGAAATATAAAAGAAACATTAAAAACCAAATGCATATAATGTTGTGTTAATGATATAATAATGTTGAATGTAAGAATGAGGACACAAAAAAAAAACAACAACCCAAAAACAGACAAACAGCAGAAAATCAAATGCAGTTATCATCACTAACACCATTTGTTTTCACATTTTCAGTGTAGGAGTCATCAAGCAAATGATTGAATCTGTTTATTAATTTACAAGACATCATCATCATATGTACTCGTTTTCCAGTCATCTTCTTTCTTCTGGAGCAACATGTAGTCCTCATCTGTGTCAGAGATTACCCTGACCAACCAGAGCAGTGTTAAATGTCTTTAACATCATGCTTCAAAGACATGGAATGATGCAGGTTGTGAACAGACAGAATAGGATCAGTCCAGTCAAGATGGGTGTTCCAATCTTAAACAAAAGCTGCCACCAGAGTCTGGAGGTCAGCCAAGAAAGAAAGTCAAAAGTTTGAGAGCCCTGAGTTGCACTGTCCACATAGTTCTTAAGCTCTTCCAAATCATGCAGGGCATCATAAATAGTTCCACCAGTTCCTCTTTCATCTCATGTTGAACCTATGATCTTGCAGACGCCTCCTTGAGAGGTTGTGAGAAAAGCCAACACAACACGGTTTTCAAAAACATGTAAGCTCCATGTCCGCACAGGAAGTACCAGTCAGCCATCACCCGTTGACCATAGTCTCCTGGCACTATGGCGCTGCAACGAGCTGTCTCCTGTCGTCCTCTCGTCTGCTGAGTGATGTCGATCCTCCTTTCCTGAAGCAAATTGTGACAGTCTGGATTGTCGTTCCAGATGCTGCATCCTGGGGTTGGCTCCTGACCTCTGCAGGCGATGCAGTCGACGAATTCCGGTGTTTTTTCGCAGAAGGTGTAAACTGTGTTACACAGGTTCCATGGGAGCATTCCCAGTGTTGTAGGTCCATTGTTGTAAATGCAGCTCCTGAGAGATCCTGGTTTGGCCCCTGCCAAGGAAATGATCTCTGGTATTTTCATCACAGTCTGTGGAAATGGAAGAACATCAGTAGCAAGTGAACAGTTCATAGCTCCAAAAAGTCCTTTAGCGGCAGCTCCTGTCCAAAGTGAAAAAGAATAGTTCTTTTTGCACCATCTGCATCCCTTTGGTATGGGGATGTTGTACCGTGGGTGTGTGCTCAGGCCATAGAGACACATCTGTTTGTCATCAGTGATGTTACCTGGTCGAAGGCCTGAGTTGTGTGTGGCGTAGGGCAGCTGTGCACACACATAGCAGTTCACCTCGTGAGCAGTCCTGTTCATTAGTTGCCACCACAGGTTAGTGCTGTAGTCATGTGGATGAGACTGGAGAAGAGTGTTTGTGCTTCTCTCCTCATCTTGTGGAGGCTGAGGCAGCTTCCACTCCAGAACAAAAAACATGCTGCAGTCACAGCGCAGCAGAGATTCCACCTGGCCTGTGAGAATCCCATTGCTGCTCAGATTACAGAGATGTTAGAATGTACCTAGGACTCTATAGAACAGGGGGTTGATGATTTCTTCACCACCGTTGAGACGAGTGACCCTAAAAAGCCAAACCCCTGTGAAGGTGGACTCCCAGCTGCTCCAACCTAGGCTTCCAACACTTTCTGCAACATACAGTGACTGAGATGAATCCAGCTGGGTCGTTCAGCAATCTTTACAGCAGTTGGAGTTGTTATCAGCACTTAGAATGGTCCCTCCCACCGCGGGCTGGCTCAGCTCTTCCTCTTTATGACTTTGATAAACACACAGTCTCCTGGCTTGCTGGGAGTGGTTTCCTATGGGAGATGAGAGTCAGAGGGCAGTAAATTTGCATTTGACACCTCCTTCTGTTTCAGAGTCCTGATCATGTAATCTGCCAGTGTTTGCTCCTCATCTGCATGTTGCAAATCTGGAGAAAATATTGGTAATCTGTATGGTCTTCCATGAATTATTTCAAATGGTGTTAATCCTTCTTGTGTGGGTGTAATTCTCGTGTACAACTTTACCAAATCTAAACATTCTGGCCACAGTGTCTTAATTGGTTCCATACATTTTCTTTAATCTACTTTTCAGTCTAGTTTCTGGTGTTGGAATAATAGTTTTACATATAGCTTTAGCTACTCTAGAAAACATTATGTTCATTCACAAACATCAATTTGGAGTAACTAGTTAGATAAAATATCACAATTTAATTTAACCTTGCATTTCAGACCAGTTGACAATGTAATTTTTATGATTTAAATTATAATTTGATCAGTTCCTCAGTTCTTTAGTGCAATCTGTTCCTATAATCACACTTATTTCCATCAACGTAATGTGACACAAACAAAAACATGAAAATTAATCAGATTTTCAGCCACAAAATTATAGTCTGCTTTCATTGTTTTCCTTTGCTCAAATGGTTATACAATTTTCTGAAGCTTCAAGAATTTTCTTTTAAGTAATGTATAGATTTTAAGAGCTATCTCCGACGTGTTGGAAACCAGCCACAACTGAATTTCCTGCTGCTGAAACACTTCACCAATTTCAATAAAATGTAGATTCATAACTGTTCAAATTAATATTATTTCATTTATTTCTTATTTATTTATTTTTTTAACATTCAGAGATATTTGATTTTAAATCCAATCTAGCATGTATTATCAAGATAGCCCTACAAAAAAAAAGGAAAACAAAAACTTTTGTGAATAATCATTAGCTTAGAATCTTTGAACTCCTTGATCATTTTTAGCTGGTGTAATTAGTGGCATAATTTCCGTTAGTTCTTTGCTGATCTTTTAGCGATTGCAGTTTTCCCTTCACGGTTTCCCAACCTGGGGCTCATGGACCCTAAGAGGATCCTTAGCAGTGGTCCTGCTGTTCAGGACTCAGAGTTAAAAGGGACAAACTGAGAGAATTTGTCTATCATTGTACATAAAAGCCGTTAAGACTTTCCTTTCTGGCTAGATAATATGTGAACAGAGTTATAAAGCAAGCAAGTCTTCATTGCAGTAGCAGTGTATAACAGTTGTGTATGTGTATAACACTTATCTTGGATGAGCTCACTTCTCCCTCCTCCTCCTGCTGCTGGCGTCGCTGCAGCGTGGGTCCTCTCCTCCTCTCTCTCTGCAGTTTCCTGTCAGTCCAACTGGTTCTGTATTGGATCTTTGAGTTGCCCAGACTGTCCCTCACGCAATGTCCATGCTGTCCACAAATGAAACAAGGGTCAAACAGTTCAGTTTTGTGTCTGTGAAGCACATTATCCTTCCTTCTCCAGGCTGATGTCAGGGAGTAGACCAGCGGAGGTTGTAAGAGTTCAGTTGCACCCAAACACAGGAATGTAGTTTCAGACCAAATGTCCAGCAGGACTCCATGTAGTAGTTGCTCAATGACAGTTCCCAGGTGTCAGAAAATTAGGATCAACAGATCTCTTCTTTGCCTTCTTGATCACTGTCATTAGCTGGTGAGGGGGGAGGGACATCATCTCGGCCATGGCAAGACAGGTTTGAGTTGAGGTCAGAGGTCAGACGCACCGCAGCGAGGCTCAGACAGAGGAAAAAGAAAGAAGCAAATAGGATTCAATTAGAGTTTGTCTTTCTTTCTGTTTTTTTTATTTATTTCTAAATATATATCTGTATATATATATTTCATATCTATATCTCTTTTCTCTCTTTATATTATATAGTTTTAGCCACTTATTACCTAACATTTTATTTAAAAGTTAAAAGTCATTTACTTATTTGAATATAAAAATGAAACATGTTAAACCCACAGTCTCTTATCCTTTGCCATGTTAGATTTTAATGTAGAATGTAAGTTAATTTAAGTTCACATTTACTTAGTCTGAGTAAACATCTTATCAGAGATCAATGAATTACTTTAAGTCTGTTGATCCTAATGCTGAGGTGTGAAGTCAGCGAGCAGCCCTCTTCTCATTTTAAACCTAAGTGAGATATGAGGCTGGATAATGTCCAGGTCGGTACCAAAACTCTGATCGCTGACCCCCCAAACATACAGCCAAAGGATCACAGCACCAAAGTTGGTGTTATTTTCTTTTGTAATTGTTCTGCCAAGTAATCAATACATTGAAAAAAAGAAAAAAAATGTTGTCATCTGTTGCTTTCCCTGTATAATTTCCTCTTACTTTTGCCAAATCTTTCCCTAATGAGGACATGGCTGCTTCTCCTACTTCTACCCCATTTAGTCTGTATGAGTGAATTAATCCAGCCATGTCTTCTATCCACTTATCGGGGTTCTCTGCAACATGTGTTATTCCTTCCAACAGCCTTCCTGGCCTCTTCTAAAGTCCAGGGTCTACAAACATAAATGTGTGGTGTCTGGCCATCTCTAGGATTTGGGTTTGGGACCTGGATCATTGGATATCGTTCTGTACCGTCAAAACTGTTCAAAACTTTTGGCTGTTTGTACTGCCTTAGATTATATGAATGTCCCTGATTACTGGAACCTGCACCTTCCTTCTCATATAGCAACGGTGGGTAGACAGGAAGAGGTGGATAAAGTGTATTTGGAGTGAGAACTGACAGTGGATCTGTGGTCAGCTCAGCTGGTGGTGATTTTGCAGGAGTGAGAGTTGGAGGAGCCAAGGGGAGAGCTGCCTGTGTGCGCGGAGGAGGGGCCTGCATTGCACCTAGTATGGGCTCGTTATCTTCTGGCTTTACAAACAAAGTAGTGGCTTCCTCACTTTTACTCCTTTTGTCTTTGTTTTTTCTAATTTGTTCTCTCCTTTCTTTAGTTGCATCTAACTATTGTTTAGCACATTTCAGTTCTTCCTCCTTTCTTTCTCTTTTTTAATTTTTATTTCCCATTATTTAAGTACTCTGCAATTTAGCTTTAGAAATGACTTGATATTTTGTGCTCTCTCTCAAGTAAGTGCTGGAGGTCAGCGCTTAGTGTCCCCTGAAGAACAGGCTTCTAGACTGAGACTAGCCTCAGTCCGGTTCTTCACTTAGGATTCTAATTCCGAGGACAGAAAGTTTTACTCACAGAGAGAGATGAGCACAACTCACTCTTGCATGCACCCCCCCCCCACACACACACACACACACACACACACACACACAGCACGGCAGCAATGACACAGCAATAAAGACCGCAGCAACTAACAATTTCCTTTCAGTGCGAGGATTCTTCCTTATGGGAAGTCCTCATTAAAAGAGGGGCTCTAAAAACACCTCTCTTGTAGATTTTAGTTGAGACAACAGGGATTCTACAACCTTACGGAATTTAGTCAAGGTGTTCTGACAAGGCCTCCAACCTGGGAATTTAGCTGAAAAACATCAGCGCGTCGTTCTTCATCTGTCAGCGAACAAAACGCGAGATCCGGGTCACGGCACCAAAATGATAGGTATTTGTGAATCTAGATAAAAGAACAAACAGACAACGCAAGTGAATTTTATGAAAGCTTTTGCAAAAGGAGAGAACCCAGCAAACTGCTGCTTCAAGCCGTTCACTGAGCGCTCTGAAGACCCTTTGTTAGGGCTTTCTCTTTTATTACAAAGTAGAAAAGGAATGTGGAGGGAGGCAGACAGGAGTATCCTGAAGATACAAGTGGCTGCAGCTTCAAGGTCTGTACACAGTTGTAGCTAACAAGTATGAGAGCTTTTCTCAGGAATGTGAATACTAAATCTATTATAACTACCAATGTAAGAATGATAACAAAACAGAATTATTCTAACACAATCTCTAGTGAGACTTGTTAATTATTATTATGGAAGTTTGTTTCTGCCATTCTGGTAAAGAAAAACAAAAAAACAATAATAATAAAAAATAAATAAATATTATTAATTATCTCATTATTTTCAGATACTATCTCAATATAGTATCTCAAAAATGATATTATTTATTTATTTATTTTTGACCACAGTGGCGGCAAATAAAAAAATAAAAATAGTGCTGTCCCTTTAAGCGTGTTCATTGACGGGCTTTAGGACCCAGCGGCGGACCGCAGCCCGGACAGTAGAAATATAATGGCTGGTTTTACCTGAGAGCCTCGCAGAGCCGCTTCTTTAACCGTAATAAATGTTGTAACCGAGCCAAACCCATGCTGCGGAGTCAGTGACTGGACCGGACCCGCTCAGCCGCTGATGGAGCACATCCGACTACCGAAGGTAACCGCGGGTCCTGATGCGGGGATCGGCGTCGCTCGTATTTCCGCATTAGCAGAAAAGCGTCAGACTGACAAGCAGATTGCGGTTCATACATCTGATTAAACACACACACACAAACACACACGTGCTCCACGTAAAGGGCGTGTGTGTGTTGCTGCCATGAGGGCAGAGTGTGTCTGATGTGTTCGTGTCCCCTCGCCGTCCTGCAGGTGGAGAATGTCCGGCTACTGGACAGAGTGTCCCCCAGAAGGAGCAGGGAGGGCACCCTCTACCTGACGGCCACCCACAGCATCTTCGTGGAGAGCGAGACGGGAGGCCGCAATGAAACATGGGTAACTCATGATTGGTGCATTCAAAACACACACACACACACACACACACACACACACACACACACACACACACACACACACACACACACACACACACACACACAGAGCAGAAATACTGAATACACATGTATGTAGATGGCCTAGTCAAAATACTGTGTTGCTATGTTTCTGTGTTCATGTGGGCTCTGTGTGCTTTCCTCAGGTTCTCCACAGTCTGGTGAGCAGCGTGGACAGACAGGCTGCCAGCACCTCGGGGTGTCCACTGCTGATCCGCTGCAAGAACTTCCAGATTCTTCACTTCAGCATTCCTAGAGAGCAGGACTGCCAGGACGTCCACCTGTCCCTGCAGCGGCTCTCCCAGCCCGGTGAGCTCCGACGGCTCAGACTCTGCTCTACACCCGTTATTTAAAAGCAGTATGAAGCTGGGGAAAGTATTCATACACTCACTTTGTGTAATGCAAATAGTAAAGGACACACTTAGAATTAGGCTGCATAGATCTATCCTTATGTGTCAGGCACATTGTCACAATTCCCAGTCTGGAATCTTGGGACCAGTACAGGTATATATTATATATTGTTTGGACACCATGAAAAAACCCATCAGACTGTAAAAACATAAAATCTAACTGAGTATTTCTGTGTATTTTCTAGTACAAATAATAACTCTTTAGTAAGATGTAGGATCTGGTTTTTATGTAAGAAGTACTAGCACTAGTTCCACTGGCAGATCTGTTCAATTAAACGTGAAAATAAAAATCTGCCAGTACAACTAGATTACAAAAACAAACGCCAAAAAATGAAAGAAATAAACAAAGAAAAACAGTCAGTATGAGGAAGTCCTTTTCCGGAAGCGGGCGTTACGATCAGATAGCACTAACGCGGGATTTTCCACCCCACTTGCAAAAACAGAATCTGATGAAAAACCTGCTGAAGGCTTTGAGGAACTGATTCAGTTTTCAGCAGGAGAACAAACCTAAAAGTGGTTCAGACCTGGAGTGTGCGACCTTTCCCCTCCAAAGAGTCGTTCTCACCCTCAGTCCAGCCAAACAAAAGTTGATTAGAACCAAAACATTAAATGTCTACAAAAGGAATGTTGTCATTTTTAAAGAACCACTGCTTTATTTCTTCTTTTTTTTTGTTTGTTTTGGAAAAAAAAATAGAAGAAAAAAAAACATTGCATTTTGTAAAAAAATTGGAGAGGTACATTTAGTGTTTCAACTTAAAAATAAGAGAAAGATTTTCTAATTTCCTACAAGGCGCAATTAATCACAAAAACTTACATTTCTTATTATATCGGTATTAAAAATACTAGTTAGTTGTTTATCATTGCTTATGATCTTTTGTCTACGGTCCAAAGAGCCTCTTGGAACCTCGGGTCACAGACCCCTGGTTTAGGTCAAAGCATACACATGTACGTAGATGGCCTAGTCAAAGCCCACACCTAAATTCAATCCGGAGTATGTGGCAAGACGTCAACTGTTGTTCACAGACCCTCTCCATAATAAATCCAAACAAAGACATTTTAAAGCATTTGGTTCTCAATTGACTAAAGGAAAAACAAAACTTTAAAAAGTAGCTGAAGTTGCCTGAACATCTTTGGAATCTAACTTTTCCTCTGCGCTGGGCTTTTCAGAGCGTTACGAGGAGCTGTACTGCTTCTCCTACAAGCCAAACGTCGACGAGGAGGAGAGGCGGCGGGAGTGGGCCTTCGTTGACCTCCAGGCCGACTTCGGCCGAATGGGACTCCCAAACGGCCAGTGGAAACTCTCCCCGGTCAACCAACACTATAAGGTCAAGGAGCCGACCTTGGAGTGGACAGATTGAAATTATGTCCTGAGATCAGGACATAATTTAACAAAGGGGCAGTGTTAGGTGAAATCTATTTTTTTTTATTTTTATGGGCTTTACGTCATGTTAAAATGTCATTCCTTAATCGAAAAGCTACCTGGAGCTTTGCTTTGATTCTTTCATGCATGTTTGAGAAGTCAAACATGCATGCCTGGCGGGGACCGAGGGCGCAGCTCCTCCTCAGAGCTGCGGTTTCCAGGTTTCCAGTAAGGCGACTCCTCCCCTCGGCTCCTTCAGACTAGTCCGCAGCAATTAGCAAACGCCTCACTGCTGCTCGTTACATGAGCTTCCTCACAGCACAACTCTCGTAAAGAACATGAAAGGGTTGACAGAGGAGCATCGTTGCGATGATTTCCCGAAGGCGGCGTTTTGGAAATGGAGCCAGAGTTTCTTAAAGGGACAGAGGGCCAATTTCAAGTCGTTAAATTGCAACTTAAAATTTCTTTTCAGTCGTATTTGATAGAGGTTACATTTTTGTAGCAGCTGAAGGCAGAAAAGCAAAACGCTTTCCCTTTTAACGGTGCTGTCTCAAGAAGGAACTGGAACGTTTACATTTTCAATGTTGAAATCATGTCTCGATTATGTGCAGCAATTTCAACTTTTTTTTTGTAAGACCACGTTATGGCAGAAACAAAGCTGGGAAAAAAAAGTACAACTTTGACCACAACCTTTTGAAAAAGTTGCTGCAAAATAATACATTTTAGGCCACAGCAGTCACATGTAATATGGTGATTGTTTGCCTATTGAATTTGTGTTTTCTTTTTAAATCTATTTTCGTAAAGGTGAGTGACTCTTACCCCGCCGAGCTGTTTGTACCCGACTCCGCCGCGGCCCCGGTGCTGGTGGGCAGCTCCAAGTTCAGAAGCAGAGGTCGATTCCCCGCCCTGTCCTATTACTCCAAAGAAAACCACGTAAGTCGACTGCGTGGCTCATTTCCTGTCTTAGCATCAGTGTCTCTTGCTGGACAGCAGGTCAAGGGTCCGGTGGGAGGATTGCGACTACGATCGCAATTTCCATTTCCCCGTCTCCTTCCCAAAAAATTAAGTGTTGTTTTTTGTTTTTAAACCACAAATAGTGGAGATATTTTGGTGGATATATTCATGTTCCTGGGCCAGTTTCCTGAACGCAGATGATTAATAACGGGTCTATTTGCTCTTTTGTCTCGCAGCCAAAATGTTTCGCAAACTGTTAGGCAAGACTGAAGACGTGGAGCTCAAAGTGGGAATAAATTGTGCTTAAAAAACCCCCAACAAAAATTCAAAAGAACAGTTGCTGTGTGCATCAAGAGAGAGAGAGAGCAGGATGGCTGACACAAATATGACAGGGCTGCAGCTATCGATTATCTTAGAAATCGATTATTCTGGTGATTTATCGACTGATCGCATAAAATATCATCGCATTCTGAAGATTTTTCTTTTTCACCTCCGAAGTCTTTCCATGTACAATCGTAAAAAAAAATAATAATATTTTTTTTTGCACTAACAAATTTTGTAGAAATATTTGTGCCATGAATTTTGCTGGTTTGCTCTGACACTTTCCGTCTTAATGCCACAACACATCTGTGCGACACGGCTCCACAAAGCAATGTTCCACTTTCGTCATCAGAGGAATCACAAAAAAGCTGCAACTTAGTTTTTCTTTTCACTAATTTATCTCTCAGAAAATCTATTTTCCCAAATGCGGGGTCAGATTCCCAGGGTAAGCTGTGCTGGCTACATTCTGGTTCATGGTTCAGATCAGTTCCCTCGTGGCTTTTAAATGGAGACGTGAGAAGCGGAGAGACTCTGAGCCCAAATGCAACTTGCAGGAAGAGATGAACGAAACATTGATCTGCGGCTCATTGCTTTAGATTTTGCCTTTAAACTGGAAATATCTGAGCTGAAACTCTGTTTTGCTAGTTACATATCAGGCGTTTTGGATTAGCGCGCTCTGTCTCAACGCCAACGCTCGATACGGAGCAGAATTAGAAAGAGTGCTGAATGTAAAACGATGGGAAAGAAAGAGAATAGTAAGAAAATCTTGTATTAATCACAACCAGGGTACAGCAGCAACTAGTTACTTTTATTTGATTAAAGTTGTGGGGGAAAAAAAATTAGTCTCAGCACTTTTACTTGAATCCCTCATAACTTCCTTATGAAGGATTCTTTCTTTAGTGACCCACTGTGAGTAACTTCACTGAATGTAGGACAAATTTGTTTTAGCCCGAAATTATTCAGAGTTTTAGTTTAAGTTTCTCAAGTTTTCATACTGAAAGAAATCGATTTGGAAAAATTATTCTCTTGGCCGATTTTATTATTTTGTAATTATTTATATGAATTATTTCAATTCTATTATTTAAAATACAGTTATTTCTAAGTAACTTTATATTTTTCTCAGTCATTTATTGCTGATCAACTGATCAGCCGATCAGATGCTCAGCACTTAAGGAGTCGTTTTACGTTTTAGTTTTTTTTCTTTTAAGTAATTTTTTGGACGGTTGCTTTTTTTTTACTTTTATTTAGTAAAAATATGATGAAGCACTCTTAAGTAAGTGCAAATTTTGTCTCCTCTACCCGCCGCTGATCCCAATCGTAAACAACAAAAGGCCACCTGGTGTTTTGTCTAATATCGCGCAGCTCTTTTAGGAATCTAAAACAGTCCGTCCTGCGCTCACCTGTCGAACACAAATCCCTCCCAGGCCGCCATCTGCCGCAGCAGCCAGCCCCTGTCGGGTTTCAGCGCTCGCTGCCTGGAGGACGAGCAGATGCTGGAGGCCATCTTGAGGTCCAATCCCCGCAGCGACTTCATGTATGTGGTGGACACCAGGCCCAAGGTGAGCCCTTTGTGGAAACGCGAGCAGTAACATGTGCTCAGCTGTTTGTTTTTATCAGCTGCATGTCCTCAGGACTTCCTGGTTGTGCGCTAGCTGAAGTGCGTGTGTGTGTGTGTGTGTTCTCTCGTCTCTTCAGTTGAACGCGATCGCGAACAGGGCCGCAGGAAAAGGCTACGAGAACGAAGACAACTACTCCAACATAAAGTTCCAGTTCATGGGGATCGAGAACATCCACGTCATGAGGAACAGCCAGCAGAAAATGCTGGAAGGTGAAATTGCTGCGCTCTCTTCGAATGATACTTCAGTTCACGCTTCAGACGCAGAAACAAAATGCTCCCATCAAACAAACCTGACTGAGTTCAAAAAGTTACTTCTTCATGTTTGGTTCTGGTTCTGGGGATTCAAAGTAAGGAGGGGAAATACTTTTTCACTGCATCGTCTTTGTAGTTTCAGCTTGTGTAGTAAAAGTTGTCTAATTTTTAAGATGTTTTTTTTATCCGCTGTCTCTTCACCTTTACTGAAACACAGCGAGTGAATCTGAGGCCTCTGTGCTTTTATTCAGCCGTGGACATGCAGACCAAGCTGCGGCGAGCTTCAAAAGAGGGTTCCTGGGTATCGTCCAGGGGCGCTGGCTGCTAGGACTGCTTTGAATCCATCTGGATTTGATTTCAGAGGGTTTTTTTTTTTCTTTGGTTTCCCGGGGTGGACTGTCCCTAACGTTATCGCCCCGGAGGGAGACGGAGGGCGTGAGAATGATGCGATTTCAAGTCTGAAGAGTTAAGAGTTGTGCTCAGTTATGATAACTCTTTGCCCCCCTGGCACTGAAGGGGAGGTCTTCAAATGCCAGGAGACGTCGGCACTCCACACGGCTTCACGCTTCAATGAGATTTACAGGAACCCCCAGCCTGGCAGCATTAACTCAGATTACCTTACCAGGGGAGGCCCGTTCACTGAGCCACAGTGAACCCGATGACCTGCGTCTCTCCTGTCAGACAAACTGGTGCAGCGTCAGCAGGAATCTCTTATTGAAGAATTGTCGCGTTCACCCCTTTCACGCAAAACACAGAATTCATTTTGCTGATGGATGTCTGAGCGTTTAAAAAAATGTGGGATGTTCTGTCACAAAATTTAAAAAAAATTTGTGTTTGTGTCTGTTCATGTACAAGCTGGCATTAGCCTGGCACAGCTAGCTACTGCTTGCATTTTATTATTACTAAGAATTCTGCTTCATTATTGGCCATCAAAAATGTTTTAGCCTTGCCCTCTTAATGCAACAACAGCTTTAGCAATAAACTCTGTTAAAGACATGACCATAATGCATATTAAGCACAAGTTATGTAGCTTAAATTGCCAATAGTGCAACACAAGAAAGTTTATTCTTGCTTGTTTGCTTCATTGCATCTAAACCATCATCCACACAATTTTCAGGTGATTTCAAATTTTTGTCTAGCCTAAAGCGTTCGACCTAGAAGCTACATTTTACTTTGTTATAGATTGAACTGTGATTTAAGAGTTATCCGTCTTTGGGGGGGAAAGACCAGCTACGCACAGATTCCACGCTGTGGGAGAGAACGATGTTTCATAAACTCCAGCGATCAGGTCTGCTCGGCATTTCCTGCCACTGAGACAGCTGTGTTGTGCTTTCAGTGTGTGAGCTTCGGTCTCCCTCCATGTCTGACTTCCTGGAGGGCTTGGAGAGCTCAGGCTGGCTGAAGCACATCAAAGCTGTGCTGGATACCGGCGTCTTCATCGCCAAGGTCAGTCTGGAGGCTAATCCCTGCTGTCTGTGTCACAGAAGGTTGTTTTTGCATCGTATGCCGGGGAAGAATTGAGGAGGAGGAGTAGATGCGTTGGCTTAACTTCGTTTTTATAAATGAGAATCAGTTTTTCGGTAGGACGTTTGTTTACTTTTCCTGGCAGAATCGGTAGAGTTAATTTAATTCGATTGGTTTCCGATAGGACTCAGTCGATGAGATGCAGTACTGGAATAATTGTACTGATTGTTTTTACACGCAGGCCGTTGCAGAAGGCATCAGTGTCCTGGTCCACTGTTCAGACGGGTGGGACCGCACCGCCCAGGTGTGTTCAGTGGCCTGTGTGCTGCTGGATCCCTACTACAGGACCCTGAAAGGACTCATGGTAAATCCACTCAACCCTCTTTTTCTTCAGTTAACCTCCAATGATGGATTGCTCTTGTCTAAATTCGATCAACTTCATTCTGGCTTCGGTTGGCCGTGCCGGATGCAAAACATTTCTGTTCCCATATGTGTTTGAAGCATATTATGCAAAAGTATCTCTGAGGTCAGGAGACAATTATCACGGCGTGCAACAAGTGGTTACGTTCTCTTTCTTTTCTGCACGTAGGTCCTCATCGAAAAAGACTGGGTCTCATTTGGACACAAGTTCACTCAAAGGTTTGACTAATCGTAACGTCTTGCATAATCATTTGCGCCGATTCAAAACGGCTCCTAAACAGAAGATTAACCAATGTGTTTCAACGTTCTTTGTTCTCACTCTGACACCCCCGATTTAAAATCCAATCAACTGATTCTGGTCTGTAGAGGTTGGACGGTCAGCAGGACAACAACAATGACTGTAACAACTAGACCTACCATGAAAAGTCTGGATCGCAGCGTAATCAGGGGCCTGAATGGCCCAGTCAAAGTCCAGACCTGAATTCAGTTGAGAATCTGTGGCAAGACTAGATTTATTTTAATTTTTTTAACATGTGATTTGCATTCAGTCTGATTGAGGTTAAGATGTTTTAAAAAAAAAAAACAAAGAAAAAAAATCTGCAAAATTTTTAAGAAGTTGTTACTTCTACAAAGTTTTACCTTCGTGTGGCTGAATACAAGTACATCGCACACTTGTCAGATTTTTACTTGCAAACAATGTCGGCACAGTTGCAGTAATTACCGCTTTCTTTGGGCCTACTTAAGAAAAACAAAAACCTCAAATAAAATAAAGCGTTTGATGTCTAGCATCAGGTCTCACTGGGATTTCCGTGCTGTGTTGTTCAGGAATGACTGAGTTCCTTGCCCCTCCAGATGCAGCCACTTGGCTGGAGATCCCAAAGAGGCGTCTCCGATCGTCGATCAGTTCCTGGAGTGTGTGTGGCATCTGATGGAGCAGTTCCCCTGCGCCTTCGAATACAACGAGAGTCTCCTGATCGCGGTTCACAGCCACATCTACTCCTGCCAGTTCGGGAACTTCATCGGCAACAACCAGCGGGAGAGAAGAGCACTCCGGTGAGGTTTGAAACTTTCTGCCGGGATTGCTTTTTCCACTTTTGTATTATTATTATATTATTTATTTATTTTTTTTAAATGGTGATGACTTACACGTCTGAGGAACCTGTAAACGCTAATGTCGTCTTTTTGTTGCCGCCGTTGATGAAAAGTGTTCACGAAAAGACTCACTCTTTGTGGAGTTACCTTTGGACGAACCGCGCAGAGTTCATCAACCCCCTGTACAGACAGAACCACAGCCAGTCTCAAGGACTCCTCCGACCGTCTACCGCCCCCTACTGCTTCAAGTAGGTACACTGTCTGCGCACAGAGAGGGGAAAAAAGTCCAATTTTTATTTTGATCTGTTCAGTTCAGTGTTTTTTTTTTAACGGTTTAATTTTTTTGTGTTTGTTGCTGCCTGTTGGGCAGCACTCCCTTGAAAAAGAGGTTTTTAATCTCAATGTTTTGGTTTTTCTTCTTATTTTTATCCCGGTAAAATAAAGGTTTTATGAAATTAAATAAATAAAAAGTTGATACCAAATGTGCTTTTTGGTAAATGTAAGCGACTCTGGTTGACCTGCTATTGATGTGCTATTATAGTAGGAAGGTGACAAAATGTTTGCTGCACAAACCTTCAACACCAATCTTGTTTGATTTGAAGAACTTCACTTGCGAGGTGCCAAGTTCACTCGGGCAGAAAGAAGTTGCACAAATAATAGAAGATGAACAATAAAAATAATCTTGATTCTTTGCCTGCATAGATTTTGGAGGGGACTGTACAACCGGTTTGACCGCGGGATGCACCCCCGGCAGTCGGTGGAGGATTATTTGAGGGTCATCCGAGAGGAGACGCAGCAGCTGGAGGAGCAGCTGGATTCCCACAAGCAGGTACGACGGCGGACGATGAGAAACAAACGTCCCGCCAGACCGCTTCTGGCTTTAACGACGATTTCTCTGTCAACAGAAAATAGCCGAGCTGGAGCAGGAACAGGAGTGGAGTGATGCCCAGGAAGCTGCCCCGTTTGACCAGAGCTCAACAGTGCGGGCTCTCGGGAAGAACCTCGCTCTGGCCAACACTCCTCAGGACTACACCGGCGGCCTCCTCGCCAGCACTCCCAGCGCGGCGGACGGCGCGCTGATCCTCGCGCCGCAGGACCCCGACCGGACGGCGGACCCCGGCCTCTCCAACGGCAGCGACCCGGAGTCCGGGATTGCAGACGTGAGCTGCCGCTCCCCGCTCAGCGAGGACAGTGCCAAGGATCCGGACTCGGACGAGGCGGCCAATTCGGCCACCTGAGCGAAAATGTAGCAGGCGCCCCGGGGTTTGAGAACATCAGTCCGACAAATGGCCTCGCGTCCAACTTTCGTTTTTAGTTTACAGTGATTGTGGAACTCCTGCAATCCCGAAGCTGCAGTCGACTCCCGTTTATCGTAGTCTGCAGAGAAGGGAAATATTTTTAAGCTGTCTAATCTGATCTTCCACGAAGGTGTAATAATTAAGATCGACTTAAAGAGACCAAAGGAAGCCATATAAACGTTGATGTAGAATGCCGTCATCCAGAAGGTTTTAGCTATAAAGTCTTTACGCCCCTTTCACCTTTTTCCCTTTTGTCATATTACAACTGCAAACTTCAATCGAGGTTTCATTTAATAAACCAAATAAATCTTTTGTTTCTTTTGTTTTGTTTTTGTCTTCAGATTGAAATATTTGGCTGAACTTTGTTCTGAAAAGTAGTTCAAGCGTAGTCAGGTTGGACGAACAGCATCTGTGAATGAAAACGTCCCAAAAAACAGTCTTCCCGCAAATACTAGAATTATGTCTGGGCTTTGACTAGGCCATTCGATCTCACAAATATCCTTTTACTTTATGTTCAGGGTTTTTTGTCCTGCTGGAAGTTAAAACCTCCACTGCAAGTTTTAGCCTTATCCATCTTCCCATCAGCTTTTCTTGCCCACCGCGTGACACTACGACTACCGCTACGTTTCGCTCTGTATTCATTTTCAATGCGGGAACCTGGCAGAATCTGAATAAACTCCAGATGAACGACGCGTTTGCAGGGATTTGTTCCCACGCAAAATCAGAAACGCAGTCGGACGAGGGGAGACTCGAGCTGAACCTGAATCGGCAACACCGTTTTGCGTTGATGCTGTGAAACGTCCATTGTTGTTTGTGTGGCACATTGTTCTCATTAATGTTGTTCTACATCTGAGGCTTCTAGCTTGACCTGGAGAGCAATAGTCGTCTTGTTGTATATTTATTATTTAATGAAAGTCAGAGACATTGCAGGACCGTGGCAGCTGAGTGGAGGAAGAGATGGGAGCATGTGAACACAAATGTATTGCTTCCTTCAGATTAATAATTCACCTTGCAAAGTATTTTTTCTACTATAGACACTATTAAACCCTTTGTTTTAAATCTGCTGTATTTCTAAGTGTGGATCATATATTACTGTGCAATTATACATGCCAATGAACCAAGAGATGTTAAACCAATGCATGGCAGCATATTTTTGTACTGTGACCAAATTATTTTTGTTGGATTTTTATGTTAGATGCCTGTTGCTGTTTTTTGTTTGTTTTTTTGTCAGTGGAACAAAAATATCAGTCGAATTAAATGGTGCGTTTATTTATATATATGTAAAAAAAGAAAGCTTCTCAGATTTTCACCAGTGGTTTTATTTGTTCAGGTAAGCAAAGAGCAACGTCAACTGCTCTAAATGTAATGGTATGGAAACATGGTGTGAAATAAAAATAACATTATACGTATGTTGGTTCTGTGTTCATGTGACCTAAAGCTTCACACACATTGAGAATAACCAGTGATGTTTGTAGCTGTTTGGGTACATCTGGGGGGGGGGGGAATTAATTCACTTCCCGATAGTGACAAGAGTTTCCTCTCAAATATGTCATTTTAGTCAATTACAGTCTACCTTGAATGCTTATTAAGTATAACATTTTGATTTATACTTCTTAATTGTGCCACGAAAAGCAGAGCTCTGCTTGGTTTGTGCTCCCTGCGTCTCACCCGGCAATTAGAAAGTCGAGTCCCAAGCAAAAATCTCACACGGTGTTGCTCACGGCTCCATTCTTGGACTGCTTATCTAGTAGATGCATGTTTACCCTTTACAGATCACTGAGAATGGCAAAGTTTCTTGCTGATGACACACAATTTATCAAGTAAAAAAGAATGAAAAAAAAAATTCCACTTAAAGGTGATGTACAAACTAAATAACTAGGATCAAATTGGACTGACAAATTGTTACTGACTTTGAGTCTGCCTGGGTGATTGGACTGAACTGACTGTTTTTGGAAAGTAGCCTGGAGACAATCTGTTGTGTGTCGGTGCTAAAGGAGTTAATGCAATTAAACTGAAAGTAATTATAAGCAAGCTTGCATTGTAACCGTCAATGTCCTTACAAAGACACTGATTGTCTTTGTAAGGACATTGTTTAACTTGTAAAATGATTCATTTATGATTCACCAGTTTTTATGTTTAATTGATCACACAGCTTTGGCTGTAACGTCCTTTTTTTTTTTGTCATGTCACCACTTTATGGAAACATGTTCAAATGTAAACTATTGCACAGTCTGAAACATCTCCTAATTATACTAATGTTACAATTAAACACTATTTATCCATCCATCCATCTATTACATCATTTTAAATTTTATGTTTCTCTTTTTTTTCTTTGATTTTAGCATCAAGATTGAGATTTACTTATTCAAAGAATTCTAAAATATGTGATCAATTTTAACACGTATTGGTACTTCCTATATAAAGATTCAAACTTTATTAATACCTGAAAGAGGTATCAAGTGAAGATTCGTTTGAGAAACGAAAGAGCCGGCCAATTGAATCGAAATGATCCGAATCCCAAAAAAGAGACGGACGGCCCATCATCGCCACTCGCTGGAGTTGGGCGGGGAGAGAGGACGTAAAACGTCGCCTACTTTACACGCCTGTTTCGATTTTACGTGATGACGTTGTGGAGGCTCTGCTACGATGGCAGCCGTAGGTTGACATCAAAACGATACAGAATATTAAGTATCTCAAAGTTAGCGGAAAAGCCCCGACACACTAACACAGAACACATTAACCTTTTTCAGATAGCACACGCTCTAACACACACCTGCCCGGTTAGGGGAACGGTAAGTTACCGAAGCAACGTCCACCTTTGCTGTCTCAAAGTGGAGCCCGGTGTGTTGCCTGCGCTGCGACTTCAACTCGTTTGTTTCATGTTTGGCACACACTCCTGTTAAACTGTGAAGCTAGCCGGTTAGCCGGAGAGGCTAATAAAGGCATAAACAGCGTTCAGTCCACTCTCCCCACTGGTGTTCTGCGTGGATAACTTGCTAACTGGTAACCTAGCTAGTCAGAGAGCAGCAGGGGAGCAGAGCTAATGTTTGAACACGTCCCGTTTGACAAGCCGCTCCCCCACTGAGCTCCTGCCATGCTAACACTGTGCTGAAATGTGCCGTGGAACAATTACTGCCGCTGTGAAATGTCAATGTGGCCCGTTGAAAAGTCCCTGGACTGGTTATAAGTGGGCTCCTGCTGCAAACCGAAAGTCTTCTTAATGGAGAGTTTTGGTTGTCTGAGGAAAGCTGCAGCTGAATTTCATCCTGACATGACATGTTGTCCAGAAAACAGCAGTTCCCTGAATCACTGGCCTGTGTGTTCTCTGTGTTGTACCTGAAGTGGCACTATGCCCGCAGCCACTGTGGATCACAGCCAGAGAATATGTGAGGTTTGGTCCAACAACCTGGAGGAGGAGCTGAAGAGGATCCGACAGGTCATCCGAAAATACAACTACATCGCCATGGTGAGTTGGGATGATTCAGTTTAGCAATTTGTGTCGGGATCAGTGTGTGCAAAGTCATTCACTGTCAGCATTGTCGTGTTAAAGTGTGTGTGAAAATATGCAAAAAGTATAAATGCAGACTAAATGGAGATGTTGTCAGCACTCCATTTCCTCATTTTTGTTGGCAGTGGGCATATTTTTTGTCACAAGCTAAGTTAAATTCACCGAGTGCACAATCTGACACATTTCTAGTATATGTTTGTGCTAATTTTGATTAATAATGGTCCCAAAATGAACTTTCTCTTAAAATTGGAATGCTATAAAGTATAAAGGACAAATTATCTATTCATAGAATGTTCAGTGGAAGGAAAGAATGAGACACAAGCAACAGAGTTAACCACAGCTATGAGACTATGGAGCATATGACTATGTTCCATGTGTATTTAAATTTTCTAAGAAATTAATTCATCTAACTCAACCGAAATCAACACAATTTATTACTGTGTATTAAGTGTTTGGTTTTATTTGATCCGATAGTCAAATACTAAGCAACAAACTGGAAGTTGTTTCTTTCCTACTGGGCTCACAGACGCCGTCAGCCCCCTCACTGGGTAACAGCAGCTTGCTCTCTTGCAGGACACGGAGTTTCCGGGCGTTGTAGCCAGACCGATTGGGGAGTTCAGGAGCAACGCTGACTACCAGTACCAGTTGCTGCGCTGCAACGTGGATCTGCTGAAGATAATACAGCTGGGCCTCACGTTCATGAACGAGCAGGGAGAATATCCTCCGGGAACGTCAACATGGCAGTTCAACTTTAAGTTCAACCTCACGTAAGATTGCCGCCCCATCAGTTTCCGATGTTGCGTGGGTAAATTTACAGAGTTTACAGAAATGTACGAAATACAACTTGTACTGGAACATACAAGCTAAACTTTATATATGTTCATTAATCACAATTAAATCCGGGACATTAATGTAGCAATTTAGATTAATTAATTATGTAGATTTTAATGTGTTAACATTTTTCAGCACAATTAATTAAAATTGCATACAAAAGTTCCCAGTGGAACATTTGTATTCATGTGTTTCTGGTACGGCGGTAAATCTGATGCACAAGCAACATCCCCAAACAACAACGGACGACAAAGTGACTTCTCTTGGCTCACTGGGGCTAAATTTTTTTGTTTCATAAGACAATTTAAGGTTATGCTTGAGAATACAATTGTTGTTTCCAAATGGCGCAAAAAAGAATTAGCCTGTTAGCAAAGCTATTCAGGCCTAAGATAGCATCTCGAAGCTAAACGCTAATGTCAGCGTCCACAGTTTACATTTCTAATGAAGGATTTGTTCAAAGAAGTTGAAACGCGTGGAAGCTGAATGATATTTTGCACCACATGCTGATGGTTGAATAATCTAAATAACAGATTAAAAACAATAAATGTCTTTGTTGTTAAACTCATAGGTCAGTTTATTCAATAATTTAGCAGAAAAAAAAGTTTTTTGAATTGAAAATGTTGCTCATTTTGTCAACATATGAATTTTGATCAAAAGGTGATTAACTGGTTACATTAACTATTAAAAATGTTGAATTAACTATTAAAAACTTTGATCACATCCCACCAGTAATCGTAATTATAATATTTAAGCACAGAATATGAAGACCAGCCAGCTGTCAAGGTGAAATTGGCAACAAGACCAGAAATCCCACAATCCAACGGGGTGTCACCATTTTGAGGATTCAGCTGCTGCAGTGTTTTACACATGCAAACTTTACATTACTGACTGTTGTGTGTGTGTGTGCGTGTGTGTGTGCATGCGCGCGTGTGTGTGCGTGTGCTTGCCGAGCTGAGTAGTTCAGATCAGAACTCTGCGGTTCTGTTTCTCTCTTCATTAGAGAAGATATGTATGCACAGGACTCCATCGAGCTTCTGACCACTTCAGGGATTCAGTTCAAGAAGCACGAAGACGAAGGCATCGAGACGCTGTACTTCGCGGAGCTGTTGATGACGTCCGGAGTGGTGCTGTGTGACGGCGTCAAGTGGCTGTCTTTTCATAGGTACGCCGCTCGTGCTTCCGAATTTGTCTCAAATCGAAGACTCCGACGTGGCAAACGAACGCCGGCGCTGGTACCGCTCTCTGTTTGAAACGCTTGTCCGAACGTTCCCATCCGTTCCCTTATTTGTTTTTCAGCGGCTACGACTTTGGGTACCTGATCAAGATCCTGTCTAACGCCAACCTGCCTGAGGAGGAGGTGGACTTCTTTGAGATTCTCCGCCTGTACTTCCCGGTCATTTACGATGTCAAGTACCTCATGAAGAGCTGCAAGAACCTGAAGGTACTCTGAGAAATGCCGGAGGATCCCTGGTTTTAGGAACCTCTGATTCCTGTTGTAAACTTTTAAGTAGCTGCGACAAAAAAATTTTTCAATTAGGGTTGAAATTATTCATTGTTGATAACTAATTTAGTAATCGATTAATCGTTAAGTGGAACACATATATTTTTTTAGAAAAGGCCATTTCCTGAAAAATTAACGCATTCAGAGAAGTAATTCAGCCACAATTGGTGGGTAAATTTTGCTTTTAAGATTAAAACACTTCTGTCTGTGAAAATGTTTTCCTCAAAAGTCATCAAGTGGCTAAGTTTTAGCTTCACCCGCTTCAAGTTCACTTAAGGAAAGTTGTGATGTCACATTTTAGACAATAAAATGATTATTTTGTTATGTGGAAATCAATCAGATTATTTGTTCATTACCATCCTTCAGTGCATTTCTAACGTTATAAAGAAAAGGCTTCGGCCAGCCGGCAAATGGCTGCCAAGAAAAGGTCTCGTCTCTATTAGTCTATAGACTTAGTTTGTGTTTTTGTTTTTTTCACCAGTCATTCTTTGTGTCCAATCCAATTTTTTTCCTCCCAGTCTAAGTTCCCAGTTGCGAAACACAACCGCATTATCTAGAGACAAGCTGTGCGTGGCATGCTAGCGGTGTTGTCCTCCATTATGTGGATTTGCTGAGCGTGACTGACGGCGCATTGTGTTCAGGGCGGGCTGCAGGAAGTAGCTGAGCAGCTGGAGCTGGAGAGGATCGGACCGCAGCACCAGGCCGGCTCGGACTCTTTACTCACCGGCATGGCGTTCTTCAAAATGAGAGAGGTAGGAGCCCCGACGTAGAGCTTCGCTTACTTTGGCTCTCAGCTTCCAATGCGAATCCAATATGGATTCTGCTGGATATTTTTCCACAATTTGACCTATTTCAAGTGTGAACTTTGTCGATTCTCTCAGAAGAACAACCCTAAATGTACAGCCGGAGCTACAATGTAAAAATCTAGATGGAAAGCATTCTCAAAATGGCCTAGTCAAAGTCGAGATGTAGTATTGGTGTGTTCCAATTGTTGCCAAACCACAAAGACACACCAAATAACACACCTATCTAAAACAAGACGCTGAAACAATGAATCTGATTATTGAAATAATTGTCAACTGATTCAGTGATTAAATGAAAAATCTGCAGAACGTGCACTTTTTGTTTCATTGGATTAACACTAACCTAATCGTCGGTTTCTGCCCCAGTTGTTTCTGCTGATAATTCTTTGCGTGACTATCAAACTTGTTTTATTTTTGCAGTACATGACGTAATCACACATCTGTCGCTGTCCTCCTTCCTTCCAGATGTTCTTCGAGGACCACATCGACGATGCTAAGTACTGCGGCCACTTGTACGGGCTGGGCTCGGGCTCCGCCTACGTGCAGAACGGGACGGGAAACGCCTACGAAGAGGAGGCCAACAAGCAGCAGTCGTGACATCGCCGGAGTCTCCCACCGTCCCACAGTCCAGCTCGGCTCCGAGGCGGCGAGCCGGTTTCACCCCCACCACCATAACGGAGGAACAAAAACGCCGACGTACATTCGCGTTATTTAGCTATCTTTTTTTCTTTCTTCTTCTTCTTCCCCATCGGCCGCGCCCATCTCAGACTAGCGAATAAGAAGCGCGGCCGTTCCTCATCCGCGCCGCGAGCCACATGCACGAGTTTAGTCTTTTATCCCTTGCGAGGCGGCGCCAAGACGACGCTCGGTTCAGTTTGAACACGCCTGAAAAGATGGGATTTTAGTTTTCCTCAAGTGTTTTGCAGACATGTTTTTTGCACTTTACGAAAGAAAACAAAAAAGCAAGAAAAAAAAAAACAAAAGAAGAAGCTCTAACCCTGATTTTATGCGGAACGCTGAACATGTTTCCGGTGCGTCTCCGTCTCCTCTCCGTTGCCTTCCATGTTCCTGTTTCTTTTACATCGTGAACATGTCACATCTCCCACCGCTGCGAAAGCAGCTCTCGCCAGACTCGGCCTTAACATTAGCTGCATTCTTCTCTTTTAAACCTTTTAATTTATTGTGCGGGTTACGTTGCCTAGTGACCCTATTCAACACTAAACAACAATAAATAAATAAATAAATAAAACGGCCCCGCAATCCAGACGGCCTCACAAAGTGAAGTCCTCACAAAGTGTGTTCGTCGACACTTGAATCTTTTGTTCTGGATTTGTTCACGTGACGAGAATGTTTGTATCGGCCTGAATGAGGTCTGACTTCACTGTGAGAAACGTCTCCTCCACATCCAATCGCTTCTGTCTTTTTCTCGTTTTGTTTTTTCATGTCGTACGAACAGCATGTATCCAGATGCTTTTCACTCGGAGGAATGCGTGTCATTTTTGTGAGAGTGTGTGTGTGTGTGTGTGTGTGTGTAAATGCTCTCGCTGACAGACGCGCACAGTCAGATGCATGAGCTCTGTTTAAATCAACCAGTGACACAAGCAGCTTTTTCCATCAAACAAACCCAGTAGGACATGCTGACGTCAACCTCAACTACTCTGTTCAGAGTACGTTTTTCTTTTATTGTTTTAACAGATTAAAAGGGAGGGGGAGAAAAAAAACAAACATTTTCTTTGTAGTGGTAGTTAACGCCACTCGAGTTGTGGAATGCCTCCTTCCTGTGACGTCGTCCGGTTTCGGGCGCAGAGCGGACCGCATGCGTTTAAAACAACGTTGGACTCGAAGCGGACTTGTTGATTGGTTCCCGCATCCTGCTTCTAGGCGTGTTAAGGTCGTAGGTTAGCAGCTTCTTATTGACCTCTGCCTCCGAACGTGACTTGCGCTCCCTTTCCTTTTTCTGCAGCTCATCTCTCACACTGTAAAGAAAAAATATGCAACATAAAGAGAGGAATGTTTTTAGACGTTGTTTTGTAAATAAAGGCTTGAAATTTTTCTACCGGAAAAAGAAAAGAAAAAAAAAGAGTTCTCAGAAGTCTAAATAAACCGCTGGAAAGTTCATTGTAGTAATTTAATTTGAAGAGATAAATATAACTAAGTATTTCAAGGGGTTGTTTCTCTGTTGTTGTTTGTTTTAATAATTAAAAAATTTAGATTCAGAAAATTAGAATGGAACTGATTAAAAATAGATTTTTTTATGTTACACCCGCAATGGAGTGTTGCCCACTTATGGTTACACTTAAAAGCTAATAAGTAGTAAAAGTGACAGTTCTGTATTTAGGCATATTGATGGAAAACTGAGTGGAAGGAAAAGAGTTTGGTAGAAAAGAATGTGAGGCCAAACCGTGGACTGGAGCTGATGTCAGAGCACAGACATCATATAAAACCATTTTATACAATAACAAAATAATAACGTGCTTAACAGAACTTAAACATAAAGAATTAAAACCAAAAAGGCTAAACATTGATAACCCAATTTTGTTATAATCCATGTAACTTATTGCATGGTTTCTATAATAACAATAAAGATTATTGTTATTATGTGGATCAAATTGTTGGTACGTCTGTATTAATGACAGAAAAGCCCATAAAGGTCCCTGAAATAACTTGGAAATGGACAAAAATGATAATTTTCTGGAAATGGACCAATAAAAATGAAACATTACTTTTCTTTATCATCCATTCTGACACGTTTCTTACCACGATGTGACGTTTGATTCATACTTTTAATGACAAATTCCAAGTAATGTTTGAGAAACCCAAATGCTGTCCTTGTAGTCTGAATTTATTTGACTGTTTTCCCCACCGTTTGTTCAGCGAGCAACAGTAAATAATACATTTTCTAGATGCCCTTAGACTTCTTTGCATGTGAAGAATCACATTGGAACGGGAAAGTTTCATCACGGTTTGTGGGTTCAGTCACAGCCGTACAGTCACCTAAAAAAGAAACAATAAATACTTCTCACCACACTAGCGCCACAAAATATGGTGAAATCACCTCCTCTTCTTATAATTGTTCATCAATATTAAGGACTTGTTGACTTAAAGCAATCTTGGTCAACAGTTTGAGTGCAGTAAGGTGTTTGGGCAGCACTTTATTTGTTCCTAACACTCAAACACAACACCCGCTGTGAACATGAAGGAGTCTTTATGAATGTTTATGGCTGACGTCATGCACAGTTGGCACTTTTAATGGACTTTTATAGCAACTTTTCCTCAAACGTGTCATTACTTACCTGATGACACTTTCTGACGCCAGTCATAAACATTCCTGCAGACCCCTTCACGTTCACGGCAGATGTTGTGTTTGTGTCCGTGTTAAGAACACCCTGTCAAAAAAACAGCGTTTGTTCTGGAAACCAAAAACACGTTTCATATTTCTGCGGTGTGTTTTAGGTGCTTTCTCACAGGACCTGACATCTTCCAACACGCCGACGCAGAGGATGAGCTCATTTTATTCCCATAAGGCATCTCAACTGTTCCATCGCCTTCCTCACACATCCACAGACAGAAAGATAGAAAAATATATGTCACAACGAAGCTTTTCAAAGTGTACATTCTGGAAAGTACTATTGAGTTACAGTTAAATGACGTAGTCATTTCCAGCCTAAAGTGACTGACTGTACAAGACATGTTTTTTTTTTTTTTTTTTTCAATAATACAGCCAAACACTGGATGGTCTCTGCTCGTCTCCAGCTGCAGAAACTCCGTCCAGGAAGGGAAACAGTCGGGAAGCGGATAGACATGATGTGTCAGTGATATCCTCACTCAGGCCACTCAGAGTCAGAAGAGCCCTTTTTTAAATAAAAATAATAATAACAATTGAATTACTAATTACTACCGTTTAGTCTTCTTTTTTTTACGTCGTTACCATCATGTTTGCGTCCTGAGATGAGAGCATGCGACTCTTTCACGTTCACAACACTCACCACGATGCACGTGGAAACCAAAAGAACAAGCATTTCACAAGAGAAAGGAGTGTCAGAAGGAGCGTCAACGTCGCTCAGCAAATTATTCTTTTTTTTTTTGTCCTTGATGCGCCAAAGAATCAGCAGCAGCAGCAGGTGGTCCTTGAACGCAACAGAAAAGAAAGAAGCAGCCGACTGAGTTAGAAAACAAGACGCGGTCGTCTCTCCACTGCGCCTCTGTGCTTATTTACATCCAAAGAAGATCAGACGACTGGAATGCAATCCGGTTTTTTTTTCCATTTATATTTTTCCCGTCCACTTGACTTTCTGACGGCAGCGGTGAATCCCCGACTGCTCGTCGGTCGAGTCGCGTTGCGTGACGGCAGACGTCAAGAGGACGTCGACGCCAATCAAGCAGAGTTCTGATAGGCACAAACACGGAGGAGGGCAGCATTGACCTGGAGGAGGAGAGAGGTTACTGATGGTGATGATGTGGTTTTAATTCTGGATGTTGGGATTACGTTCACTTACATTTCTGGTCGTGTGTGATCCTGGTTACGCCTCGTTCTCAATGGTCATCACTGGGTTACTGGCACCTGAACACACACACACACACACACACACACACACACAGAGAGAGAGAGAGAGAGAAACACGTAAAACACTCCATTGAGATAAATCAAGTCAAAAAAGTAGCAGAAGTATTCATCCCCTTTTGAACTTTTCCACATTTTTTCACTTTAAAGAATAAATCAGGAGCGGCTGAAATGTCATTTTTGCGTCGGTTTATAAAAATCACAATGTATTGAAATCTCGGGCTGCAACGTCGCAAGATGTGGACGTGTTAAAGGGGTGCAAAGAATACTTTCGCACAAATCCCAGTGTCTTGCTTGCCCTTCTTGTCCTTGTCTCCTGCACCTTCACTCTCTGACCAGGAGGGGGTGCTGGTGAGCAGTCGACTCTGGCTGTCTCGGAGCGGTTTGGACGGGAACTGGCGGCCTTCTGCTGCACTACAAAAACAAACCATCACATGCAAACTAATGTAGCTATGTTTATAAAAGTACTGTATGCTTGGGATGAAACCTAAATTCAATTTTATCTCTGTCTTTTTTTTCTCTCTTGGATTTTAAGTGAAAGAATAAAACAGTCACCTCTTGCTGGCTGAGCTGGATCCAGAGGGCGACGACGGCTGTTCAGGGTCCAGATTCACCAGGCAGGTCGGGAATGAGCATCCGTCACCTAGACTGTACAGACGACACAGGAACAGCTGCTGATACCGTACATGAAAATCAGACGATCTGTTTTAACTCTGGTCTTATGTTTATTGCTTTCAACCTCCTGGGATGGACTCTCAAAAGAGCTTATGGGGGCAGCAGCAAGTTTCAAAGACTTTGAAAAGTCTGAACTTAAATTAGATCTTTATGGGACCAACATGGTGCCATCAGGTAAGGGATGTTTTCAACCTGCTTATGTCCAGACCAACCTATTAACATACTGTAATTACATTATTTTTTTTTTTTTTTGGATAGGGAACCAAAACTGACCCTAGCCCAGGGGCCCTTATCTTTCTGAATCCGGCCCTGTTCACTGCACAAACACAGTTTATGTTCTCTTCTCATTGCATATGAAGAAGCAAAGAGAGAAGCAGGAAATAAAAATGTCCAGATTGATATAATGAAGAAAAGATATGAAGAAAACTGAAAAAAAAGTAGGTAGCATTAATGATGAAAAACAAAGAAGTTCCTGTTTCAGTATTTCACTTCAGCTGTCGAATGCGAGAAGAAACCCGACACACTTGGATCATAGATTTTACGGCTGAAGGGAAATCTAGACCTCCTGTACGTCAGCAGTGATACAATCAGAGTGTTTCTCATTCTGTCAGCAGGAATTAGCGAGGTTGTGGAGCTGCAGCCTCTGTATTGATTTACAGCGGCGGTGCTGCTGATGCGGCCGCAGCGCTCCGCCGGGACCTCCAGTCGTTTGAAGCACTTTGTTAGACAGTAAGTGGCTCAGATAGCTCCAGGTTGAACACCGACTCCATTCGTGCATGTATAAATATGCATCAGTGAGAGTGCAGCGTTGGTTTTTGACCACGCTTAGGCCTAATCAAAACATTTTAAGCATCTTCAGAAGCATGCATCGTCCTACGACTCCTGCACGGCTTTGTGCTGGTCTGTAAAATCAAATCCACTGATGACGGCATTTTGTATATTCACTGTCGCAGGGCCTTGTGATACAAAACAGCATCCACATTTGTACATTATTGCACCTCGACGAGGGCAAAGGATGAAAAACATCCCTGACTCGTCTCGTCTGCCAGCTCGGAATGTGCATGCAGAGGCTCTTCTCCCACTGACAGCATAAGCTGCTCCATCTGAACACAGAATCCCCCATCTGTTCATCAAACACGAGCCTGTCTTATGAGGTCACTCGGTGGGACGTCCAAGATCACACCGGCGGAGAGCGATGGGGGGGAATCTTTGATCTGACTGCTGCGCCGAAGCTTCTGTGGACGTTTCTGATGCCGAGGTCGATCTGGAGCGGAGCAGATCAGCAGCCAGACAGAGAGCGCTGAAATAAAACTGGAGCTATCAGCAGAGAAATAAGGTCAGTGGAGCTGGCAAAAATCTCCTTAAAGGGGCAGAATTATGCAAAATCCCTTGCATTGCTCCCAACTCAGCTCCTTCAGACTAGCCAGCAGCAATTAGCAAACATCTGGTGGAGCTGCTGCGGTCATAATCGGAGATAGTTCTCAGAGCAGCGCTGGTGAAAACGTTGTTTAAGGTTTAATAGAGGAGTCATGTTTTGACGACTTCCTGAAGGTGGAGCTTCAGAGCGAGGAGGAGCTTCTTAAAGAGACAGAGGCTCAATTTCAAGGCATTAAAATACAATATCACATTTTATTTAAGTCATACTTTTAAGACTGTTTGGCTTCAACCGGCTGTGACTAGATCTCACCTGGAGAAAACGGGAACAGGCCAGTATTTGGCCTCGTCCCCAAACACCTGGAGGAAGTTCTTGGTGAAACCAAGGCTGAAGCCGTTCTTGTCCGTGCCGTGACGAAACACGGGAGCACGCACTGCCTCTGAAACGACAGACAGACAGACAGACAGACAGACAGACAGACAGGGGAGAAAAGGTGAGCATCCCAGTGTTCTGACTATCAGTGCTGCCACGTCAGGCTTTCCTGCCGGAGCCTGGATAAGTCTGTCTGTCGGTGTTACGCGTCCAAAACTGCATTGAAACAATGCAGTTTCAATGCACTTCCTTCTGATGAAGGAAGTGACAAGAATCCTTCATCAGAATATCCAACCTTTTAACAATATTTTAAATACAGAGGTGTTTGTCAGAATAAAACAATATCCGTTTTCATTGAAATCACATTGAACACGGACGTCTGCAAATACAGAACTGTCATGGAACCTGTTCGTTCTGTAAAGCGGCTTTAACGTGTTTACGGGCGAATCGCCCATGTGCGTAGTTTTATGTCACGGTGACCATTTTCAAGGACCTGCTTAAGAAGTGGAATAAGGCAGAAAATGTTCTCATATTTCTGAATTTAGGGCAGCCGACATTTGAGGGAATCATCCTGTCATCTATCGGAAAGCGTCTTCACATTCGATGGGTTTAAATTAATTACATCCTCTGCAGACCTTTGGAAGTTCACCTAGGGCCGCGCTGAGGTTGAGTTGTTAGCATGACAGTAACAACCTGCCACAGCGTTTTGAACGATGGGTTTCAACATTTAAGTTGAAACCCATCGATCTGCTCTAAAGCTGACAATTTGTCAAGTAACAAATAATCAGTAGAACGTGGAATGTCATTATCATATTGACTAACCTCGTTCAGTGTGCTACCATTAGTGTATAAACTAAAATTCGCTACAATGTTAAGCTTAGCTTGAATGCTGTCAGTAGCATATCAGGTATCACCAGCATGTTGACTTGCTTCATTTAGTATAGTAACTATAGCTAATAAATAAAAAAAAATAGGAAAAAATGCTTATTGTAATTACGAGGCTAACGTTAGCACGAGGGGTATCATTAGCATATTGAGTTACTAGCATGTTGATACCACCAGTAGGATGAGGGTTGTCGCTAGCATGTTGACTAACTCAAAGTTTTAGATACAAAGCTATGGTTAGCATGAGAGCAATTCCTAGCATGTGGAGCGAATAGGATGTTGACTCTGGCTGCAGGAAGTGGGAGGCTCTGTGAGGTTCCTCTGAACCAAAGCGTCTTTGTTGTGCGGCTCACAGGTTGTTTCGCCAGGTGTGAGGTTTTGTCTTTCTGGACGCCATATCGGTGTCCGCCTCTAAGCGGCTTACAGCTCTTTGAGCAATGCTGCTGTAACACACTCCTCTGGGTAATCCGCCCTCCTCGACGCACCGAGACAACGCACGCCACTGTGCACTTCTAATGAGAAATCAAAAAAATATATATAAATACAGGTCAAAACTCTCCTTCACCTCCGACGCATCAAGGAGGACAGATGTAACCTGAGGTCCTTTGCCAGGGCCGGATTTAGAGGAATGAGGGCTGGAGCAGGTTTTGGTGCCCAAAAAGAAAAGTATAACTACAATAAGATTACTCACGCAACTGATGGAGGCTTTGTTTAAAACGTTCGACTGATTGCTCCAAGGTGGTGTCAAAAATATGTGCTGTAAATTTCAAATATTTTAGTGTTTAAATTAAAAATGTATCAATATTTAAAAAAAAAAAACTCAGCATGTTTTTTTTGTCACGAATACGCTGAGAAAAAAAGCTGTTGATCCGACTTTAAAAAACCGGGTTCATTTATTGTAAGCAATCAAGCATTCAGCTTCTATGCACCACAAATCTATAACACACTTCAAAACACTGAGATCTTTGAAATCAAAGATTTCTTATTTATTTAGAGTTGGTCTTTGATTAATAACCGAATCATTGATTAATATACGTAACATATATTTTCTGATTATTCTTGACTTTGATGATGGTAATTGACAAACTGTAATGTTTGTTTCTGGTTTCGTAACAGATTTTTGTGTAATGCTTTTATCATGGAAAAAACAGAAAGGGTTCCTCCCCAACCATCCCAAAACCTGCGGCTCTGGGTAACCGCCCTAGCCTGGCCCGGATGGCGGCTCTCGCTGAAAACGACACGCACCCAACGTGGATCTGTTCTTGCAGACGAGCCAGCAGTGATAAATGAAGAGGGAAGCCAGGCTGACGGAAAACATGGAGGCCGAGAAGAAGAGGAAGAGGATGTGGAACTTCGCCTGGGTGTCCGGGAGGCCTTTCTGGAGAGGAAGACGGAGAACGTTACCATAAACCCGCCAGTTCTGAGGGGCAGAGGGCTGGCTGGACCTACGGGAACTAGAGATTCAGTGTCCTACAGAGTCCCTGTGGAAGCCCAGCTCCAAAAGCAAAAACCTTAATTAGGAGATATTATCTTTTTAAATATGAGCAACGAAGCCATAATTAAACGTGGCGTTATTAAAGATTTCATAGTGATTACAAACTGTCATGTTAATGAGTCACAGAGTTCCCACTGAGGAGCCTACATACAACCATGCTCCTTTTTCTGTATAGAAGATTTCAATATAATAACTTCACTGAAACATAAAACAAGAATTGGATAAATAAGTTTGAAATCGCAGCGCACCTTTAAATTATACATATGTATTCAAATAAATACAAATCCATACCAATGTATGGATTTGGTGGTGATTTTTTTCTTTGTTGATTTTTGCCCATCAACGAGTTTCTGGTAAAATTCCTAAGACATTTGAACTGGTAGAGATTTGTGCAACTTCAACTCGTCCTGTCAACGCAGACCTGCATTTTACTCAAGATATCTAGCAAACGGCTAATTAGCTTAGCATGCCTTGTGTTTATCGCTGCAGTCCTGCTAGCCGTACGCTGGTTAGCATCCAGCAAAAGCTAAAATTGGCTTCAAGCCACTGCAGCGCTACCTTTTGGCGAATGTTGTGACTGAAGATGTTCGGCTTTGTCCTTTACTCTTCAAATAAAGACAAACCACATCAGCATCACTGACCAGTCAGGCCAGTGTGGCTTAGAGAAGCAGCGAGCCTCACGCCAAACACACGCCGTCATTCAGTACAAGCTAAATAAGGCTAGCATGCATTTGCTCACCAGCAAGCTAGTATTTAGCATGTGCTAATTAGCCATACGCATGACATTAGTTTTAAATTACTGCCTACTTATGTAAATACAAAAAAAAATTGACATGTCACATACTGGTCTTATTTTTACCACTTCAAAGCACATTGTTAATAATTATGAGTGATTAATATTAATTAAGACAGTAATTACTAATTACTGTCTTAACAGACTGTGGTATCTAAGGTGTATGTTCATGATTAGATCTGAGGGCTTTGACAGTGTTTAATAAAAATGATGAGTAATAATTGCGAGATGCGCTTCCACAGTTGTAGCTTACTGAACAATTTTTTAAATTCCTTTAATCTGGTGTTGAAAGTGGGCTTCCATCGAGTTCTTTACACAGCGGCAGGCAAAGTCTGGTTCCCCTGAAAAAAATCTCTTTCGCCGTGGAGCGTGGAGCTGTTTCTGACGGGCCGTCCTGCCCTTCACTGTCGGCTGAAACAAGCACCTCCATCTATTTTCCAGATGGCGTGATGCTCCCTTCCAAACTCCGCAGGTATTCGGTGAAACCCCCGTCAGAGAGATGTTCTCAATGTCACCGACGGCAGCACTGCAACCAAATGCAGCTCAAACTGAAAGCTTAAAAAAAAAAAAAGAAAATGCAAGCCAAATATTTCAGGGGGAGCTCAAACGTTTGCGTGCCACTGTTTCTAGTTTCTACTTCAGTGCGCCGCTAACCGGCTGCGTGGTTCGTACCAGGTACTCTCTCAGACGGAAATGTGCTCTACCTCCGGCCTTGTTAAAGAGATCAAACGTCACATTGTGAAAAGACAACCAAATGGTACACTCTGCTGTTCTGCTCGTTTCACCGGATGAACGTGCCGATTTATCTGCACTTACCGTCCAGAACTTGATGAAGTACTGCAGATCTGTGGCTGTGATAAAAAGGCAGTAAAGTAGAGAGTAGGCCAGAAACAGCATGAAGAACTTGTAGTTGGAGAATCCCACGCAGTTGTTCACCCTGCAGACAGAGGGTGAGGAAAGGTCATTAAGAGTTGACCCAGAAGATCAGACATCCCTGGACGAGACGCTGAGCAACAACACTTCCTCTCCTGTTGTCGTTTCAATTTATCCTGCTGGATTATTTGGTGGTTGGTGAGCAAACAGAGTTTCATCCGAACAATCGTTTTGGTTAAAAGTCAGCAGAGAGCAAACCTTTTTCACATTTTGTCCAGTTACACTCGCAAGAGACCTCAAGTTCTTGCCACAGATTCTCATTTGGACATAGGTGTGGACTTTGACTGGGCCATTCTACATACATCTTTCCCCCCCTTGTGGCTCGCTGTAATTCTTGTGACTCTCTTCTTGCTGAAAGTGAGATTTTTGGGGCTCCGTTACCTTCTCACAACTTGTGGAGTTTTGTTTTTCTCTCTAATAAATCTTTAAGAAGCGCTAGATTTACACTGAGGTGACATTATTAGACTCCATTTTGGTTTAACATTGTTTAATGGTGTCTAAAAGGAGGGTGTTGAATACAAAAACACGTCATAATTTAGAATTTTATGTGTGGAGAAAAAAAAAGGAATAATGCATCTTTTCTTCACAGATTACAGCTATGTACTATTTTGTAATTTTCTTTCACATACAAAAACAAACAACATATATTGAAGTTTGTAGTTGCCAGTGGCGCTCACAAGTGAGGGTCGAGCGGGGACCACGGCCCCTTCTTGAAAAATGTCGGCTCCCCGCAGGGGCCCCCCAGTGGAATCATAGAAAGGCATGCAGAGTTATGATTGACTAGTTTTTGGAAAGTATGAAAAAACACAAAGTACGAGAAAAAATATGTGGATTTTGGACTGAAACAAATGTTCTGACTGGGTGAAGACAAGGGGAAGTCGAAGTGTAAGTCGATTAAAATTATGCAGGAGTCTCAATTTAGCCAAAATACGACGTGAGCAATCATGCTGTGAGGTGAAATGAAAGCGATATCCCGATAAATAAATCCATAACATAAAAAATATAACTGTATATGTGTACACATATATTTATATGTCACAGTGCCACTAGCAGTTGCAATGTGACAAACTGTGGAAAAGCTCAAGGGGTGTGAAGACTTTCGCAAGGCTCCGCGCTCGGTGTTACGGAAAACCCCCGCCAGTCTGAACGCAAACAGAAAGTGGCGTACAATAAATAGTTTTGTCAATATTGGCGTCCGGGCGACGGCGCGGTACGTACCAGGGGCAGTGGTGATCCATCTTCAGGATGCATCTGCAACACAGCAGGAGTCGACATCAGTGTAATTAAATTGGACTCCTCTTGTCAGCGTGCTATCATGCTATATTGTTATATGATCCGTGCTGCGGCGGAGCGGGGGAGGCGTACTTATCGCAGACTGAACAATGGTGGCATCGATCAGGCTTCAGCAGCTGGCAGCGGTCACAGAAACGAATCGCTGAGGAGACACAGTCAGTTCAATCAGTAATCAGCCGCTGCCGCCTCTCTTAGCACTTGACCCAAAGAGGGCCGGGCCGCGTGCTTTTTGGCAGTAACGGGACCCCGTAAGGCTTGTTGGTGGAGCGTGTCGTTACCTCCGGAGTTGGTGCGCGTGTAGATGGGCAGGTCCTTGGCTATTCTCCTCAGGATCTCCTGCTGGGACTCGCCGCGATCTTCGCGCTCCAGCAGCTCCTTGTCAGAGTGGGACAGCTGGAACTACGCGGGGCAGAGGGGAGAGAGAAAGCTCAGCTCTCTGATCCTACAAGCGCAAGAGCCGCCTGGACATTGCTGACAAATCTATGTGATTGAACAGTGGAAGCAAAATAACCGAGGTGATAATAACAGGCAGCGCGGAGAGAATTTATGAAGATGGATGAAACCTCCACCGATCAGTTCGTTACGTCTCATAAGGAGGAATCTCATATGTGAGCCGACGCAGAGGTGAAATGCGTTTGTGTTTCACTCTGCGGTCAGAATCACAGCCATTAAAGTGCAGCAGCTTCAGGCGCTCCTACCAGGAAGCATTATTAGTCTAAACGGAGCGCTCCATCACATGAGGGGGGGTTTAGGGGGCCGTAGCCCGCTTCCTGCAGCGTTTCATCATCCCGAGCGGATGCACTCACCTCCTTCAGGGGGTTCATGGGTTTGGTGAAGATGGTCTGCCAGTACGCCCACACGAACATGATGAAGATGGCGTGGTAGGCCAGCAGGTAGACGACTGCAAGCAGACCGACAGGAACAACAGTCTGTGTGTGTGTGTGTGTGTGTGTGTGTGTGTGTGTGTGTGTGTGTGTGTGTGTGTGTGTGTGTGTGTGTGTGTGTTCACAGCGGGAATTTCTACAGTGTTACCTCGCCTTCTGTTTCATAAACCTTAGTTATTACACAGTTATTAGCATTCAGTTCCTGGCATTCACTGTAGAACCAGCAGTGCCACTTCTAGACGGCTAATAAATAGTTTATATGTTTCCCATGCATCTATAAACATGTTATAAATCATTAATGACTGTTTATTGTATATTAATTAAGGGTGAGAAAGAGATTATATGATAAAGAATTATGTTTACAAGGTAAGCCAAAATATTTAACAACTCTATATAAATGGTATTAGTGAACTGACTTGGTTCACTATTACCCTGGCAAGAAACGGGTAGATTTTGCCTCCTTCTCACCCTTCATTAATGCTTAATAAACAGTTATTAACATTGATAAAGAGTTTAGAGATTAATTAACATATTTAAAAACTATTTAAAAGCTGTCAATTATTGTGAAGCCGTACCAACTCATCATTAGGAAAATAATTACTTCAGTTGATAATATAAACAGCTTTCAGATGTTTTTGTTTTTTTTGTTTTGTTTTGTTTTTGTTTTTTTTGCAGTGATTTGACCAAAGTTTAGTTATCGTATTTCTAATAGCATGGAACTAAATTGGGGCCAAAAAGTTTGCTCATTTTCTTTTTTTCACTGAAAATGTTCAAACTAAAGAAAAGCCTCTTGTGCTTAAATAAGACCTAAATTTGAGAGACAGATGTGAACTTCTTTTTCCCCACTTTATTTAGTTAGATTTCGCCCAGTTTCAAAATGATTTCTCAGCAGCAAGTTTTTTCACTTGCAGACAAAATAAAATTGGGCGCAAACTTTATGGCCCCAATTTAGCTCCATACAGGTCAGAAGGTCCAATTTGGATAAATATAATGAACAAACTAGTTAAGTAAGAGGGAAAAAAACAAACATCTGAGAGCCAAGCTACTGTCAGAAAAACACATTTTCAGTTTTGCCAGAATTTTTGTACGGCTGTCGAGCCTCTTCACCATATTTATGCTGCAAAATTATGGAAACCACAGCTGCTGGTATTATACAGTAAATTAGAGACTTTTTTTTTTTACATGGCACCATCTGGTGTTGAGTTCCAGTCAAATCTTCAATCAAATCAAAATTACAGTTAGAGCAAAACTAATAAAATTAGGAGTAACAAACTAGAGAGATTTCTTTCAGAGTTGTTTCAAAGAAACATTTATTTTTCAGTGCATGATGCTGTTTGTTCTATGAAGTCCTCCCAAAAAAATCTCTGTAACATCACAAAGCAAGGAAATGTCTCCGGGGTGTGAATACTTTGTCAATTTATGAAGTTGTCATGCTAGATAGATGTAAATAAAGTACGTTTGATCAGTTTAATTCAGCTAGTTAATGGCAGGAAGTTCGTGGATCTCTTACCCTTTTCTCCTGTGTCCTCGATGGATTCTGGAAAACAAACCATTGAAAGAAAAGACAGTCAGCGCGAGGAGACGTGCTGTGGGTGAGCGCAGCGCTGCTGGAGGAAAAGTCGTTTGGTGGAGGCCTGCAGGAGGAGGTTCATCGAGTGCATCGGCGGCAAACGCGTGGAAACGAAAGAAAACGTGTGTGAGGCTGAAGGGGTCAGGATTATTTAAAACCAACTTCTTTTTTTTTAGCTTTACATCATGTTATAATGTTGTTCCCTGAAATGTCGCCTCGATTATTTCATGCTTGTTTGAGAAAGCCTTTCATCTCCATGGCAACCACTCAGCTGTACAAAAGGCCTGGTTGGACCTAGCCCCGCCTCTGAAGACGAAGCTCCTCCTCCTTCAGAGCTTCCCCCTCAACAGAGGAGCCCTCTCACATGACTGGGTTCCTTCGGACTAGCCAGCAGAAATTAGCAAACACCTGGTGGAACTGAGCATCTCATTATAGGAGCTGCAACACTGGTGAAAACGTCTCATAAAGGGTTAATAGAGGAGCCGTGTTGTGACGACTTCCTGAAGGCGGAGCTTCTTAAAGAGACAGAGGCCCAATTGCAAGGTGTTAAATTACAATAGCCAGATTTCATTTAAGCAATATTTGAAGTTAACACACTTGATTATGCTTGATTAGTGGCGCCATGTGCCTGGTAAAGCATCCAATGCCACTCCTATAAAGGCAGTTGCACGGATGTCATATTGACACGTCTGCAGAAGCGATACCAACGCGCTTCTGTTTTTGATTTCCGGCAACCAAATTTCCACCTGATCCAGGCGCTCGGTTCAAAGGCTGACGCTGTTTGCTATCGCTGTGCCGGAAAATGGGTCGACCGCAAATTTCTGGAGGCGAGTTATGCAAACCAGACAATGGGATTAAGTGATCGGATGAGCATCAGCTGATGATACTTTCAGACAACCAACTCTGTGTGTCCTGTCTGCTGCCGAGAGAGAGGGGGGAGCAGCTGCTTGTTGTTTTCATCTATGACCTGAATGCATCACGATTTCAGTCTTGTGACGAGGCATGCGAAGGAACACGGTTTACAGAAAAAGAAGAAGAACAGCCTGCTGATGGAGGGTTTATTTTGGATTTTCCTCCAGTGCTCACTGATCTGAAATAAAGGGTTGATTCTGTGAAGAAGGTTAATATTTCGGGAACAGGCTGTCAGAACATCCTCTCCTCTCTCATCAGACCGTCTCCATTTCATCCCCCCACCCCACATTCTTTTTTTTATTTCTTTTTTTGACTTTCCTTCCACGCGCTCTGACTTCTCGCTGCCAAATGGAGCGCGAGCGAGCCATCCTAGAAAACCATTACTATCCGGGTCAACCCAGTAAACTCAGAAAGCCCGGTACGAGCGCACAGAAAAAAAAAAAAAGCCATTAGGGGCCCGGCTTTTTGCCAGCCGATAATGCTGATTGTGTCTGGGCTGGTGGATATAAATTTGGACGGCGGGTGTGGGGTGAGCACATGAGCCCGAAGCTTCCACTGTAAGACTTTAAGCTGGTGATGATGAAGTGTCAGAGGGAGAATCAGATGGTCTAATCCGTTTCTTATATCCCGTCACGCTGCACCGGTCGACAAAGTGCGCCTCAAACACAATGGTTTATTATTGTCCTGTTGTTTTTACATCAGCATGTAAAACTGCAGATGCTAGCATATGACTGTCATCACGTAATGGAAGGCGGTAATTGAATGTCAGGGCTTTTAAGCTAACATTAAGCGCTACTGATTAACTATTAATCGCAAGTACTCTGTCCAATAACCGTTAAAACCGATAAAAAGTAAAATAAATATAATCACGCTCGTTTTGATCATTTTTGGGGAAAGCTAGCGGGTTTTTCTGTTCCACATTAGACCGGGTGAAGATTTTATTTTATTTTTTTCCACCATTGAAATTCTTGGGTTTCCATGGTCAAGAATGATGACAGCACACCCAGAACCGCCATCTTGTTTTACAGATTCTATTTTTATTTGGGCTTGAATATTAGGGTCAGGCTAAGATTTTCTCTTTCTTTTTTTTTAAATTACAAGAAAAAAGGGCGTGACATTTCAAGAATACAGTCGAAATGTCACCTGAATAAATATTCAATTTTATGAGAAGTCCCAACATGAAAAATAAGTAAAACAAGGAATTAGGCATTTTGTAACGTTATGCTTTGGTATAAGTCTACATATATGTAAGTACACTTTGGTTCATAAGATCCTTATTAGAAACACAATCTTTTAATCCATTAGCATCAAATTATAGCTAATAATCTGGAGTTTGAAACAAATAACTGTGTCTGTTTTGAAAATAGAACCACACGGACTGATGTCAGATGTTGATCAACATATCTAAGCTTTTTGCCCTCGGAACAATATCATAATTTTGTTGTTTGACTATATTATTGTAGTTACTCAAAAAATCTGCTTGTCCGACCTTAATACACCTTCAAACGTATTAAGAAAGAGTTGATCTTTCAAAAAAGCCACATTTTGAAAATATTCTGACATTTTCTTTAGCATCAAGCTAGCTCTTTATGGCTGTGATAACAGAGCTATGGCAACTGAGATTTTCCATTTTGACTCAAGCCATGCAGTAAGCAATATGTGGAGGAAGGTCAGAGAAAGATGGCTTGGAAGTATGCAAAGTGGTGGCTGTATCATGCTGTGGCGCGGACGTTTCAGGAGCGCTGGCTAGAGCTAAGAGGTAAATGCTGCAAAAGGTGCAGGTTCGCCTTAAAGTTCACCGTCCATTATGCTCTGACATTCAGTAAGACACACTGCAAAAGTCAGGGATCTGTTGTAAGAAAAACAAAAATCCTGGCCACACTTGTCAGATTTTTAACTCCAAAAGTTTTTGATAACATTTAACCCCTTCCCTCGCACGCCGCAATCAAACACTACCTTCTGTTGGTCTATGAAAGTAAAAGCCGCAGTAAAGCGCGTTGAAGGCTGTGGTTGAAATGTGACAAACAGCTCAACAGGGCTGAAAACTTTTTGAACAGACGTTCAAATATTTATTTCGAGGGTAAAGAAAAGACTAAAGATGGACTAGAACTGTCCTCATTTTAAAATATTGTTTATTTTACTGTTGATCTTAACTTTATACTTTAATGAACCATTAAAGGCCCTCCTAGGGGCGAGTGTTGTGATATATCTGTCAATATCAAATAAACAACGGAATAAATAAAACGCTGAACAATAATGGAAGGAAATGTTGAATGTCAATTGACTGACTTTCATTCCAGTACTACTGCTGTTAAGACCCGTCTCCTGTTGGGCTCCAGGGGACCTGAGCAGCTTTGTTTGCTTATGCCTTGGCCCCAGTCTGCACCATTACAAGAGAAAAGCAAACAGTCTGGCACCCAAAACAGAAATGAAATCCGTTTTTTTTCCCCTCAATAACAAAAGAGACAAAATACCAGACAGAGGTATTCCCCGTTTTTATCCCCCTCAGACACACACACACACACACACACACACACACACACACACACACACACACACACACCCTCATAGTACCCAGACAGCCGCCTCTTACCTATGCAAAGCTGCAAGACATAGGCGTAGTACGACCACGCCACTATGAGGGCGATGAACAGGACCGGGATCCAGTAGAGGACTCTCTGACAGCCCCGCTTGATGCTCCGTGGACCCGACGGCGCCATGGTCTACGACCAGCCGATCATCGCACGGTGCGCATTCGCGTGCTGCTGCTCCTCTCTCGCGGCGCGTGTCTCCTGCTTCTCCTCGTCACTGCATCGTAGTGCGATCATCAGCCTCACCGGGAGCTCAGTCGCAACATCCCCGCCGGGCTCCTCTGATGCCTCTCTGCCGCACCGCACCGCACCGCACCCCCTCCTCTCTCTCTCTCTCTCTTACTACGGATAAGACGACATCAGACGGCTTTCCGCGCGCGTTCACACACAAGCGCACGCGCGCAGACGCAAGTCTGACTGAGAGCTACACGTTGCCATGACGTCCGCGGGATGCTGCAAGCCTGGCACATTTTTCATGCGCGCGCAGGACATGGGTTCAATGAGTTCAGACTGAATGTATAAGCACGCGCGCGCGTACACACAGACACACACACTCACGTGTATTGGACCAGTTCGTCCAGTCGTAGTGAAGGCAACCACCTCCCGTCATGCCCCGCGTTTTCGCCGTTTGATATTCATTAGACGCGGTCTCCTGCCCACGTCATCAAACGTCTGCTTCACATGCGATTTCCGTGTCTCTGCCGGACTCTGGCTTTTGCTCTTTCGAATCGGAACGTTCGTCTCGTGCTCGGTAGGTCACTGGTTCGAGTCCCGCTCCGTCCGCCGCTGTTGGCGACCAAACATCCCATAATCCACCAGTATGTAAATAACAACAATTTACCACGGAGAGTCGGTGAGCATTCACTCGCTCGGCGCTGTAAGTTTGTAGTTCGCCCCAGCAGAAAGAGTAACGGGACACAGCGTTGAGAAATTATTCAAACTAAAAAGACATATTGACACATATTTTTTGCTCAACCTGTTTTAATTCTTTAAATAAAGAAAATGTTTATTATGTGCAGTTTCTTTCACAGGCAGAATCTGATTTAGTCGGCCCTGGCGACTACCCAGGGCGACATCTCATCGGCGGGCGGCACTCACAGAAAATCACATTAAATGTTTTACAATGTCATCAGACGGGCTGAAACTACACAATTATGCTCTAACCCTTGTATTTTAAAAAATAAAACAAAAGTATTAATGTGGATAAATAACACATTGACACATTTATGAGAGAAGCAAAACACCCAGGACTCATTTAACTGAAATGAGTCTCAGAAAATGATTTTATTGTGGCTCTAATGAATGTCAAATATTGTAATTATTTTTGTTTTCCTAAAAATGAGTCAATATTTGAGTTTGTTGCCAGTTATGCAGCTGAAATACCTGGAAAGAAAATACATCCTTTTGGTGTTTTCAAAAAGTTTATGGATTTTATTACTGAGAAAGTTAGAGATGTTTTTGAAGCTCAAACTATTTATGGCACAACCCAACAAAGTGTTTTAAAATAAAGATGTCTGTCAGTATGGTGGTTTTGGAAAACAAAGTATTTACTGTGACGGTAATAAAAAGCTTCTGATCCAGTGTTACAGAACATTATGACATTTTCTGCCTCCCAATGTCACCAGTCGATCAGAGTGGCAAACCAGAGCCATGATTACAAGCCCTGTTTGATTTAGAGCCGACAATTAATACATAAACCAGCAGCTCCTGGAGAATCCCCAAATACATCGAGAGGAAACAGAAAAACCTGCATAACCATCAAGCCAAACATTTTGAAGGCTTTACCCCCTTCGAGGAGATTCATACAGATCCGCAATGATGTTTAAAATGAGCTTTTACTATGAAAAAAGTGCTAAAAATATTCCAGCATGCCAATTTTGACTGCTTGTAAACCCCTGTAAATCATTACACCGTTTTCTCAAATCTCTGCAGTGGATTTTAACTCAGCCAACGGGACTTTATTCTGCAAGCACCAACCTATTCATTCAGTTTTTTTTTTTTTTTTTAAGCAAACAAGTCTTTCTGAGCCCCTCAGTCCCAGAGACCTACTTTATCTGCTGCGTAGCAAACAGTCTGGGCTGAAACCATCACTTTTGACAATTTCAGGTCAGCCGAAAGTGAGGCGTTTCGCCTACAGCTCATTGACTCGAATGTTATTTTTAGCTTTGACTTGGCCGCAAGTTGAGTGTGTGTGGTTGCGTCCCTGCAGGGTTTCTGTCGGCTTTGCTAACTCATATTCAAGACCTTGATGACTGGAAGTTAATATGTTTTTTTTTTTTATCCTCAGAGAAATGGGCAAACTTCGTCCAGCCCACTGGCGATGATGTCCGAGCGTCTGGCAGAAACAAGAAACAAAACTACATTCACAAAATTAAATAGTCACGTCAGGACAAAATGAAACGCCTGTGATTTAACGCATCCAAGGCCAACACTGCAAAAAAAAACATAATTCTGGTTTACTTTTGTAGAAACTGGACCAAAATCACTTGGTGATATTTTGTGTTTTCTTAAATTTGTTTAAGACGTTTCAATTCCATCATTTCAGATGGATGGATTTAAAACTTTTTAAGGGCGCAGAGCGAACATACAGATTTAAAGATGTAGTTACGGCTATTTTCTATAAAACGTTCCCATTTATGCTGAAGGACGACCCACAGTCATTGTGGCGTGTAAAATCTCTTCTTCTGCCTGTGTTTGTATATCGGGCGGAGAAACCAGCTTGTGAGGAAATGATTATCCCAGCTGGATTAATCATTTAAAGATAAAAACAAGTTTCTGGTAAGTCTCGAGCGACCACATAAAAACCTGAGTCTCCATGTGATTAATAGCGTTAATGATTTTCCTTCAGGCTGGAGCTGAAGCGGATCATTTGGAGACAGACACACAGAGAGGTGAAAACGCGCCAGTTTACCAGCTGAACTTGTGCGAAAGTAACAAAGCAGAGCAGAAAACGCAGCGGTACAGTACGTCAGATTTATTGAAACGTATCAGTGGGAAAGCGTAACAGTCAAAGCCAGGCTTTACGGGAAACGGGGCGGAGCGACCAGTCGTCTCAGATACGGTCCATTTACTCTGAGTGACACTGTGGTGTTTTCTCGTCCAACACAGATCCTCAGATGCGTACAGAGGGATCACTCCTCATCCAGGATCTCATTTAGATGCATTTCTTTGAAAACCAACAGTAACTTAAACATTACACGCACTCTTTTTTTATGCATCGGTTTTTTTTTGACTTTCTGCTCATCAATGTCGTTTCTCTGTATCAGCTGAGAAATGATTAACGGTGCTGGCTGGCCGCGGTCAAACAGTGAGAGAGCCTCGGATCGAGCGAGCATGTTCAGGTCTGCTTCCCTTGGAGGATTCCAGCTGCGGCGCTCCGGAGGAAGTACAAGGACTCAGGGTGGGGGGTGGACAAAGGTAATTTTGCAGGAGCGGCGGGGAGGGGGGCAGGTGAGAGGGGAACAAAGAATATGAGCATTCTGCGATTCTGTGTCTGAAACAGAACCACGGTTGGGATTCAGTTGGAGTAAAGCAAGCTGACGGAGCAGGAAACTGACATTTTTATAATAATTGTCTCACCAATAAGCTAAATGGTTGGTTTTCTTTTTCAAAATATGTGTAGTTAAATAAATAGATAAATATGTATGGTAATAAATATTTCCTATAAACACAAACTAACATGCAGTAAAGTTGTTGGGTGTCTCAATGTTTCTTAATTTACTTTCTGTGAAGAGTCAGTGAAGCTTCCCAGAGCTCTGCGTCTTTGCTCTGAGATGCTGCAGCATGCATGAACTCCTGCTTCGGCACACACACGCACACACACACACGCACGCACGCACCCAGGAAAGGGAAGGCACGACTCATCCGTACTGTGAGACATGCAGCGACGACTGGGTCTTCACCTGGCGACGACACAAACACAATTATTACATCTTCAAGAAGTCAGACATCCTCTTCGTCAAAGTAACATGATGCAAACAGTTTGAATTTCTGAAGCATCCCTCATCCACAAACTTCCACTTGACAATATTTGTCCAGTTCACCTCGTAAAAGGCTTCTAATTCAAACAGCCTGCGTTGTCCACAGCAGTGTTTTTCAACCTTTTTTGAGCCAAGGTACATTGTTTTCATTGAAAGACTCACGAGGCACACCACCAACCAAAAATCTAAACAAATGAAAATTAAACATTTTTTTCATAGTAGTTCTTATCAAAGTGTCTTGAATAGGAATCAAACACGACTAATTCTGCCCACAAGCATCCTCTTAGCCAGAATAGCAAGATAATTCCTTTTCTGAGAGAAGCCATAATATTTGGAAAAGAACTCATTAGGGCCTTCATCTGGGTCCGAAGTTAGTATTTTTTCTTTTCAAAAACGTTTCTATCACTGTCATTACAGTCTTGCTAGGTACAATGCTCTCACCGCTACCTGCCATATTCATGCATGACTAATTCTCTTGTTTTAACGTACAATGCTATGTACCTACTGCCATCCTGTCATCAGGAAATTACATGATTATGCCGCTAGTCACTACTACAACACTAGAAAATGGCCTATTATTTGCAGTTAATGAATTTGTTTTCAAAAAATCTTTTTAGACCAATTAGGTGAAATTGGGTCATTTCCATGGCACACAAATAGTGGTTGAAAAACACTGGTCCACAGTGACATCGTTCTTTTGTTTTGCATTAATGCTTAATCTTCATGGTTGTGCTGAAAAATTTCATCTTTTGTTTCTTTACAGGTTTAGTGATAAACTGGCTAAGACGATATTTCTTTCTCTCGCTCCCTTTCTGTCTTTTATGGTTTATTAGGTTGTTTGTAGCTCATGGTAGGAGCTAACTAAAGAACCCTGCAGAAAACGTTGAATTGCACAGGGCAGACTTCACGCTGAAAAGCGTTTGAAACGACCCGGGTCCCATTTATTTCCATCAAAAATAAAAACCTGCCATTTAAACATCAAGGCGTGCACCCTGACGAGCAACTGCACATTCACGTCTTCAAATGCAAGTACAAATAAACATCCTCTTCTATTAAATCATCAAAGAGAAAATGTTAAATATTATCTCCATTTTCTCTTCTCTAGAATTTATTTTTAATTTTGGTGTGTTTTGTTTTTTCCCTCAAAAGGCATCAACCTCTTCCTCATTCCTCATTACTGAGGGTGATTATTAAGCCTTCCCCCTGTGAGGTGCCTTCTCTTTGAAACACTTATACAGCTTTAAACTGCGCCGCTCGCTGCTCACGTATGCAGACCTAAGCCGGTGTCCGGTGGCAGCTGTTCAGGCGTTAATATTACAGTGTAACTTAATGCTTCAGACCAGGAGAGCGTGGGCCTCCTCAGAAACACTGAGTCGGCTTTTTTTTTCTTTTTTTTCAATTTCAACAAATCATTCTTCTTTGTTTTACTTTCGCTGCCTCGTTTGAATAAAAGTGACAAAAATGTGAACATCTTCCTTACCTATTTGCTTGACATCTCCTTCTTCATGCAGGATTTGAAAGAGATGAACTTCTCCTCCGCTTTAACA